TATATTTTACCATGTATGGGATCGAAAACAAGGAGCAACCTTTTCTACACTTGTGGATAGCTTGTAATCGCCTATGCAATCACATCACATTTACCTGAAGAATGAAATAAGAACGTTTAACTTAACGAATAACACGTTTTCATTTGTCAATTTATCCCTCCCGACCGACTTGGTTGAGGCGCCCATATTTGATGACGTATATACCAAGACATTGCGTCTCGTTGCAACTGACAGTCGGTTTGTCTCTTCAACACAACAATAACAACTGTGATAGCATAAGTATAGACGATCGCATAGTTCACGTGCACCATACTAATGAGTACGTGCAACATTTAGAGTTAACCTCATAACTGCATGCAAATGTATTGCACGTTGCGCATCATTTCTGAATATCACTGGCTCTCCAATGCAAAAAACGATACGTGCGACGTCTTAGCGCTGGTGCAGCTGTGACTCGACAGCAAGAACAGTGACAGGAACGAGAAAAGCATATCAATGTCAATATTATCGTCAACAACAACCAACAAGATAATAGTAATCATAACAAGAACGTTAGATAATTTGGCACATTACCCATCAGAGATCATGACCGTCCGTCTGTTCTGATAACCGTAAACTTAATCACTACAATAACAATAGCGGTAACAGCAATTTGGGTTGACAAATTAGATGGAAGTACCACGAATAACAAACGGGAAAGTGGCCAAAGTAGATGACTCGTTCTCCCTCTCCAACACAACAATACGAGATTGGTAAATATTGACAATGGCAACAAGTAACGCATGCTAGCAGCAGCGCTTCACAATGAAGATGGGTAATATTGCCATCGCTAATTTATCACTATATACTATTTAAGAGTCATTATTACGCAATTAATATCCCACTATTTTCGTTCCTCAAAGCATCAGTTAATAATAAATGTTTTTTGCTATTACTGTCATGCATCTATGTTCCATAATCTCCCATTAAATCTGCTTAATAAGTTACCAATGTTATAGACGACTTGTATACGTCTTTAGGGATACTGTTTTCCCCTTTTCGAGCAATATGCAAATAATATGTATGTGTTTGTTGTGTACAGTATTCTCATTATCAAACAGAATTATTAAAATTATTATAAAAATAACTAGCAACAAATATGTAATTTCATAAAGGTCATAGAGATGACGGGCATTCAACTTTATGCATATAATGCCGATCTATTTTTGGTCCCTCTGGTTCTATATTAAACGTAAGAGTCAAGCAATATGATATCAAATCTTCGAGTCCGAAGAAAGACTGAATGCGCGCTGGAAAAGTACATGTGACTAGATGCGGCATTTTCAAATGCCGCATCTAGTCACATGTTTTCGGTAGGATCGTTTCACGAACGCCTTAGTCCAGTATCTTAGGTAGTTTGACTTAAGATTTCCAAATATAACACATATCATGGATTATATTGGTTTGTTGAAAAAGCCGGCGTTGACGTCACTTGAAAGGTGAGATATTAGATGTGTTAACGCTGCTGAAATGCCTTTATTTGGACGTGAGTCAGAATGCCTTGAGAATGAGTGAAATTTCTGTAAAAATTTGTTCTTTTACAATTTTATTACGGTGACGGCTGCCCAAACCCCATAAATAAAATGGGCTGTTTATGGTCAAAATGTCTTATTGGCTGCTCATTTCGTTCTGGAAACGTCGATGTGAAAGATATTTCTCGCAGTGGTCGAGCAATTACGAAAAAAGTTGATGAAATTATTGTGAAATTGAGCAACACCGAGTCGTGAGTAGCCATGATATCGCCAAAAACCTAAACATCCACCATCAAACAGCTTTAGAGTATTTGAAAGAAGCTGACTACAATAGCAAACTCAATGTTTGGGCGCCACGCAAATTGACGCCAAAAAAACACTCAATCGTATTTCCAGCAGCGGAACTCTATAAAAACGTAACGGAATCGAGCTATTTCTGAAGCGGTTCATCACATGTATCATCACACAAGTGGATCATATACGACAATCATAAACAAATCAAAAAAAAAAAAGAACAATTTGTGGCGAAGCCCTAATGATTAAGGGCAACGGAAATAATGTGATGTGTCTGGTAGGATTAGAAAGGTATGCCGTATCATGAGTTGTTGTCCCTTGATAAAGCAATTGATTCGGACCCTTACTGTCAACAACTAACCAGATGAAAACAGGCCACCGAAAAAAATCGACCAGATCGAGTGAATTAAAAAAGGCTTCTTCATCTTCGATCGTGATAATGCCCGATTACACACTTTTTTGGCTACCCGGCATTAATTGAGAGATATTAAATGAGACATTGCGTCCGCCGCATATCCCAGGTTTCGCACCGTCAGACTGTTATTTGCTCTACTTCCAGCAAAACTTAAACCTTTTAATAGTGTTATCTTGATTTCAATGAAAAAATCGGTTAATTATTGGGCACAATTTTCCCCTAAGAAACCACGAACATTTTACAGTGATGAGATTATGGTGCTACCAAAAAAAATGGTGGGAAATCTTCGATCAAATATAGCGCGTATTTAGTTTAGTAAGACAAAATACACGAAATATCACTTTTAATTTGGGGTCAAAAACGGCCAATACTTTTTCGATTACCCGTCAGTCTACGTCAAAAGTCGGTAATATCCCAGAAATAGTATTTTATTGCGACCGTTCCGGAATCGTGTTAATCCGAAACTTTAATATTTGAAGGGTGACTTCTATTACTAAAAGAATAGAAATATTACGTAAATTAATTGTAACTTAAGGGTAGAAGTTGCACCTTAGGAACCGGCGCGTCTGGTTTATTTGTTAATATGATCACAAATGAATCAATCAAAATCAATTGATTCGACTTTCATCTTGAATCATTGAATTAATTAGTGCTACGATTTCATTACCAATCTTCAGCGATATACTACTACTCTGACTAATAGTTGGCAATATAGATCGAATCGTTATCATATTTTGCATGATTCGTCATGATTCGAAATTATGAAGCATGCGTTTGATGAACAAATAAGTCGCCGGCTCATATGAACAGCAATAGCAGAGATGAGAGAAGCTAAACTTCGACCAATAACACTTTTGTAGAGGGCAATCGTTCATTCTATTTCAGCGTATTCCTATGCTCATTTGCTAACGACTCATCCAAATTGACAAGCGTAGACATCTGCGACGATACGACTGCGGTTCATAAATTGCCCGGCCGCAAGAACGGACGCTGTGTTGCCGTGCGATCACAATACTTAGTATGGCCATATTTTGTTTTAATCTGTAAAGTAACTGAAGTATGTTATGAAGTTGTTGTTGATTTGATTACTAAGAAGATAGGCGTTCATGTGTGCAGTCACTTCCAACTATATTCGTGTTTTTAAAAATAGTGAAAATATTTGATAACGAGTTCATCGAAACGGAGATATAACGAATTGCGCTGACTTAGTTATGACGATGCGGAGTGTAAGCAAGGGCATCTCGCCATGATTATTGGAAGTGACTGGAATACCGAAAGATGTTTACAAACGATATTAGCTTTTCCCTTAATTGCGACATATCGAATCGATGTAACTTTATGCCAGTTAGACGTATTCTCCTTAAAGCGTAAGAAAATTAATCTAAAAGTTAATTTTTGGTGAACTTCGTCCAAACAATATTTTGCAAAGTTCAGATCATAACTGTTTTAGCCAACATAATTTCTCTACTAATCTGTGCAGTATTTCAAAGTAGCTGATTACGTATTATTTAATCTGCATGATGGTGTACGGCGGGTCATTATTGCCAGTGACAATGCCGTCACGATATCGATTCCGAGGAGGCTGGGGAAAGCATTTCAAGCGCGGGATGTTTTGAAACGAACAGCACGTAGTGCAGTCCGTTGTGCATAAAAGGGGCCTGTCGACGGTGCTCCTATATTTCTATCAGGGGCAGTGTTGACATATATGGAAGGTTACGCAGTGAATGACTTAAGCCCTGAAAGACAGAACTAACCACGCACGTTGCTTACAGTACGTTACACTTTTTGCATTTCATTTAGTAGTTACCTTATTCAATGCCGTTTTTAACTAACACTAGTGGTACAAAGTGACCTGTGTTAACATGACCTGTAAGGTTATAAGCAGAATCAATTAATATATGTATTTTTTGGCTGATACAGGGGTAAACACGTTAATGTAGCAGCAGGCGCTTTTAGGGTCAGGTTTACCGTAAACGTAATTTCTAGGTTTTCAAGACGAGTTGTATCCTGCATATTATAGAATAATATTTTTCGATTTTCTTATTTATATACGTCTATATTAAATAATTAGATAATTCATCCAACCTAAAAAATTTAGTTTAAGTCGGGTGATCATGATAAGAGCGAAGGTTATAAATGAATGGAAGTTTCAATCTAATGTGCAAATCAACCAAAAATGGAATCAAAATGATATTTTTATAAAAAATAATTACATTCGTACTCGAAATGGCTATCTATAAGGGGAGGTTACGGGACTTCTATAAAAGCCTTATCAAGCATATTTATGTATTTGGCCTAAATACTTCGGTCACAATGTTTTTATTATTATATTACTACAAGTAGGAAAAGTAAATCGTTGGCAATATTTCTTTGACCGTAGGTCATTACCTTTACTCATCTGCAAGTGTTATGACAGCTCTATAATGAAGCATTTTAATTTCACTTCAGTTGGTTATGTCATAAGCCTTTAGCTTAACGTCATAAGTTCTAACTTATGACGTTAAACTTAGGTGAAGAATAATTACACGATAAAAACGTTGTGTTCAAAAATACGATGGTACCATGCTATTCAAGTGTGGACATGTTAAATAGTATGAAATACTAACTATAGTACTGCTATAGTAACCCTTAATTTACATCTCTTTAGCTATCTGTAGTTTTCTTCTACTTTCGCCATTGCAAAAGATGAATAAGGTCGATTACTTCATATAAATCGTAATTAGCCAACAGAAAAACCCTAGTCTTAGCTATTTGTTTGATTTTCTGTTCTGCCTCAACAGGTTCTAGTCTCTGATCTTCCCTGGCATGAAACATTTTACCGACTTTTGAATCACATCTCGGATCTAACGGCTCATAGGGAAGATTTCCTTATAGAAGATTTTCTGGATAACTTATACTCGTGCAACGTCCCACAACCAGGCTTCCAACTCGTAAGTATTATCTTCTAGTTTTTATGCGACACACATGCGCAATGAGTCAAATTCCTAGCACGGAAATTCTATCTCGCAAAATAAGCTCTTCCTGTTTTGAATATCGCGATGTGTTCTTCATTGGAGTACTGCTCGTCCTATCTCTTACGGCTGATACGATCATTTGTGCGGCTGACGGTCGGGACTGCCTCATAAAAAAGGCATCTACTCTGTTTGTGCTGTGTATGCACGTGTACGGCATGTTTTTAGATACCCTCAATAGTCTAACGTCGATGTAACATTAACAATCCTGTGAAGTTGGCATGTGTGTGCCATTTGTTGCTAAGGGCAAATGGTACAACCATGGCCCCAGTAATAGCTGGTTCTCCTTCATTGTTGATCTGCGCCTTTCACATATTGTCGCCAAGAATACTTGAGAATGTGACTAGAAGACTAAGATTGGGCAACCCAATGCTTCTTCTATGATTGCTGCCCTACTATCACTCTTTGTCTGCACAGAGTGTCTAAATAAACTCGTACGTATAGAGGGCGATGTGTAGAGTTTCGCTCTTGTAATTATTCGTGTAGTACTAATGGTGTTACTGGTTATTCTGGAACTTCCGAACATATTCTTTAAAGTTAGAAAGTCTTTCTTCTTCAGTCGATTTGAAAGTACCCGGTGTCGTTGCACGTATGCTTAACTAACGTTGCATGAAACAAAAGTATAATCTACGCAATCACACTCTAACATATTTTCTAGCCTTTCAGTTACGTGTATTGTTCTGGAACCTAATGAGTAAAGGATAGGAAGGAAGCATTACAATATGGCGTAGCATATTACTACACGATACAATTGAATTGTACATAATATTATTGTACAACAGATCTCGATATCATTATCAAGCGACAATATTATATCAGCTTAGCCTTTATCATCGACAGCTGCTGTATAATTAATTGTACGGTCAGACGTTAGACAAAATCATAAAATTTATGAGATTTTTACATTTACTTTGTAAGTTATGTCATTATTTCCGCCCACATGAATAGAATGGATCCGTATCCTTTTTTCGCTCGCTTTTAGTTAAGTAAGTTGTTATAATAAAAAAGTAGCCTAGTATTTCTATCAAAGCAGTTTTCTTTGGTTACTTAATAAGCGTGTTTACTACTAAACTGTCATCAGTTATTCTTTGCTATGTCAACAGGTTAGCGATACTATGATGTAACTATATATTGTTCTCTTTAAGAGAAAAATATTTTTGTGATAAATATTATACGCGTAGTATAATAATAGTTCATATATCCACAATGTTTGCGTGCACTGGGGCGGTCTCGAAGACCCAATGATGTGAATGGAATTTTCACATTGGTCTAGGATAGACCGCTAGCTCCTGTCCCCACATTTGGGTCGTTCTTCTTGATGACTCACCCGCACCTATCGTACGCAGGTGTGTTTATGTTTACCCTCTCTTGTCCAGTCTCATTTTGCAGTAAAATTGAGCGACTGCTGTTTATTACGAAGTTATTAGGTAAAGAAATGCTTTGGCATATGTGTTCTTTGTTTGCGTATAGTGCCACAAGTGTTTGCTCCTTTCGCAGTCGTTGTCCCCACAGTCAATACGAAATTTCCGCTCTTCGATTGCTGTTTATACTCATCTGTTTGGTTTGCGGTAAGCGTGAACCTAGTAACATGGATAGCCATCCATGTTACTGCGTGTTAGTGATGAGAAGGGGGACACTGGGGCTAGAGGAGCGCGAGATGAAGCAAGTTAATATAAACGGCTATAGTATCGACTAGCTATGGTTAGCGTTTGCGTATACACTTTGTACCTTTAACCTGGACTACAGGTGAGACCGATCATGCTGATGGCAACCGGTGGCAGCCGGTGACACGCTAATATATTGGAAGGATTCATTTGGCTAGCGACATGTATAGATACGGACGCTGAAGATAGAGCAAGCCCGAAAGAAGAAGCCAACTTTGCCAAAGTATATGAGCAGCATCTCACTCGAAAAAGGTGTAAAGTTTATTGCATCACTTTCTACAATGATTGTACGATTCGAGAAATGAGAGCAAATTATAGCGAAGAAAGACTAGCCGGCACTTTAGGCAGACCTAAATAATTAAAAACACATGTGTGCTGCACGTAACCTGACTGCATGTGTTAGGGGCGTGTTCTTGGAGTATTTAATGATTCGATTTAGACCTAAACGGGTAGTAATTTGTTTAAGCAATGGCTGACAAAATTCGGTGTCCATTGTTTCCCAACTCAAAATTAAAACGTCACCATGCTACGGCGGGGCTGTGAAAGGTGACTATTAGTAGTCTTCTATAGATGTCCACCTGCGTACAATATTTTTCTTGCTTTGTATAGTCGCTTTCAGCATTTCATATGCTACTAGATACATCTTTTTCTGCCTACTGTATTCGCGAGCTTAGTTCATTTTCCCTTTACTTTTGTCTTCAATCGTACCTTCTAAGTAAAATAGAAAAAAGCAAAATACGTGAGAAAGTGTCGTGTCGTCTGTCCCATTCATTTAAGATTTCACTGGGAGTCGCCATAAGTCGCAGGTAGTTGATTGAACATACTTGTTTAGTCTATACAAATCTTGACAATTGTGATATTCTGGGACGGATTTGTCGGTATTACGCGGAAAACGGTAAGCGGATATTGTTGTACAGGCATTATTAATAAGCTGCCACTTAAGATGGTTCTTTTCTTTTAACGGAAACCACCTTGCTATAGCAAATTGGACCAAAGCGAGGAAAAACATCGTGTCTGTTTAAATCGTCTGAAAGATTGATTATACCTGGGTATAACAGGGGTTAAAGGTCTGAATTTAGGTGTTTCACCTCCTTCGGCGAACGAGTTGGGCGACACTAGTGGCTACAAAAATTGCAGCCCCATGAGACAGTTTCGATTACAGAGAGCAGTCGTTGAAGTTCAAAGTCGAACACATTTTTGAGTAGAGCTTTACTAAAAGCTAGTGTAGTAAATCCTCCTACAAGCTGTACAGGGATCGCAATGGGAGCCACAGGACGGCTGGGGAGGACCTTTAGTAAGACAAATTCAATTTCCTCTGAGCACTATAAACGTGTGTTGAGCTATCCTCCTTAATTCGTTCCGGTTCCATAAAATCATCGATTTTGAGTCGTCCAGTTTCTTTTATTTGAGATATTCGCATTGTTCGTACTGCAATCGAATAACGGCGATCGTATTAGTTTTTACGTCGAGCTTGCATAGATTTTCAAAATCGAGATCTTTGTCGAATTCGCGATCACCAACAATTTCTGTTTTTTACACTATCATAGCTGAGTCCTGCGATTGACACCAAAACAACTCAGAAGGGCCTATGATAAATACAAACTCCTTTCCGAGTGTGAAAGCTTCAAGCGATCGAAAAATACTCATTTATTAATTAACAACTCCTAGCTGGCGCAGCGTGACGCGTCGAGAATTTCTTGTCGCAGTACGCCATTAAAATAGAATAATAATTCACCTAGTTTTTTCGCAAGCGTTTTCTACTTCGTTAGTAGTTTCGGGAGCCAGGCTATCCTTTTACGGCAAAAGTATTCTTCATCTACAACATTGTGGCGCAGCTCTACGTCAAACATCCCTTAGCCTATAATGCCAACAAGTCCAGTTATAATCAGCTGCCACGTCGTGAAGCTTTTGGCCAACAATACGTTTTAGACCATTTACTTACTAGCGGTAGGTGTCTGGACAACTGGTCATATCTAGTGTTAGTTCTTTCGACAAGGGGAACATCTTATGCCCTCGTCAGAGCACTACGTATGATGGTATCTCTTTACGGGTCATGCGTATCTTCTTCGTAACACTGAAATTCGAAAGCCGTTACCGGAGTCGATGCCAACAATAACCATGCAAGCAAACTAAGCTGCAATATATATATATATAGAGCTTACTAGTTATAGATTAAGTGCTTGTATATCTTTTACGAACACCCAGCTACAATGGTAGCCGGGTCGCTAATATCACAGAGTGAAAGGAACGGAGTCATCAACGTGTAGTTTTCAGCTATTCCGAATAGTTAAAGTTTTCTTTTTCTTTTGGAAGTTGTTACTTAGTTTTATACAGGGGTTCCAAAGAAATCGAAAAACCAGCTGCGATCAATCGACTGGCGCTACTATGGGGATTTTCATCGTTGTCCTTCAACTAAAGATCGGTTATGATACAGACATATTTTTGTATTTAGTGTAATTCAAGTGAACGAATCAATTATCTGTCTGCATTTTAGTTAAGAACAGAAATTACGTATGACTGTTATTTTTCTTCTAGATTATAATGTGGGCGAAATAATTAATCTAATTTTGTAATACATGATTGTCGAACAAATATCGGGCGTTTTTCTAGATAGATGGCTTTGAAACCACCTGTATTAGGCAGTATAAGTTGTGTCGTATCGGCACTGGTGTGGCGTTCCAGGGGTGATCTTCTTAGCAGTAAGTAATATGCTACGACTCTTAGAATGCCCAAGGTAAATTCCCTGAAAGATAAGTACAATGTCTGCGGAAATTCGCCGTATTTTACAATTCCCTTACGATGAAGGTATAACTGCTGCCTAGGCCCATAAATAAATTATGTTGTTTATTATCAAGATGGGTCATCGCAAGAAACGGCCCAAAAATAATCGTTTTTTCACTCTGCAAATTTCGATGTGAGAAACGTTTTTTTATAGTGATTCACCAATTACGAAGAAAGTTGATCAAATTATTATGAAAACTGAGTAAAATTGACGAAACTAAACATCTACTATCGAACTGTTTTAAAAAATTTGAAGGTAGCTGGTTGCGAAGACAAGCCAGATGTCTGAGCGCGACACGAACGAATTTATTCGGTTGTATTTGCCTCTATGAAACTCGAAATAGAGCCATTTTTAAATTAAGAGCGGTTAATAACAGGTGGACCGCATGTGACAATAATGTGCAGAGAAGATGTACTATATAATTTATATCTAGACCCAGACCTATTCCATAGAAAATAGTGCGATGTATTTGGCGGGATCGGAAATGAATCGTGCATTATGAGTTACTGCCATCTGGAAAAACAATTCATTCAAACCAAAAAAAGGTCATCAAGGTGTTAGTGAACAGGTAAAATGCCGTCATCTACTGTGGCAATGCCAGATCGTATACAGCTTTAGTTATTCGGATAAAATTAAGCGAATTTGGACGGAGTATCTCAACGCGTCCGCCGTATAGCCCGGACCTTGCACGGTTAAAGTATTATCCATTTCGTTTTCCAAAAAATTTCCTAAATGGTGCAAATCCAGTTTCAGTGGACGGGCGCAAAAGTCATTTGTCACAATTTTTCGCTCAGAAATTACAGAAGTTCTACAGTGATTGCATTACGTTGATATCAGAAAAATGGCAAAAATTTATCGATCGAAATGGCGCATATCTAGCTTAGTAACACATAACAGAAAAAAAATAGTAGCTTTAATTTTAATTTAATGTTCTTCTGACAGTCCAATGTATATCTGTCCAGAATGAAGGCGGTTTGGTCCAAAGTTATGGAATTGATTAATTTTCGTGTTTCTCTTTTGAAAACGAGTGATAAGATAAGGAAGAAGTAGGCCCCTGGCTAGGTGCAACATTAAAACTGAGTCAGGGTTAAAAATAAAAAGTTACTCATACGAACGTGTATGCGGAGTTTTTCAAACCAGGAAAAATATCGTAAGAGAAAGGGCCATGAATTAAAAGCTCAGAATACTCAGAAAAACAGAAAAAAATATTTTTACTTGTTCCAGGTAGTGGTCTATCGGGTCAACAATGACAAATTCAGACCATATAAAATTACTATATAAACAAGTACCGCAATTGAAAGTGATTCTTTTCTAAACGTCCAAGGTTAGGAAGCTAGAGCTAAAAATCTCTTAAGTAAAATACGTTGATAAAACCGTTGACCATGCATCATGACAAATAAATAATATACGTGCAGAACAATTTTAATGTCTTATGATTTCGACTACTGCAATTATGCGACTATACTTAGGCGCTTACTATCCATATTATTACTTTGTATAATACTGAATGATACGCGCTGTTGGCTGAGGAGCCCTCAGCAGGAGATTCTTAATTAAATTAGTACACTATTACAAATGATATTTCCCATTGAAACACCCGATCAAAGCCGACTGGGCTATTAGTCGAACTTTCTGATCGAACTGGGAGCAAAGGTGTTTTTTAGCGGGTCACATCTTCGGAATTGGTGATTGATATGATCATGCTTGACCGTGTGGCATTGCCTCTCTGTACAGAACACAACCAATCAATAACAATAAGAATAACACCAATAATAAGACGTTAACGATCACGAGCTAAGTAGGCAATAACTGAGCCTTTGCATGCTCTTCGTTGCCTTTGATGCCGCTACCGGTGCTCGTACTCAACGTTGAACAGTGATGACCTGCCGTTACCGTTATAATGCCGACCAAAGCTCCTGATAATAACCACTTTTGTCGTACTCTATACGAGAGGGGCTGCCGGCGAAGACAGATGGCGGGGTCCGTATATCCTCGGACTCCAAGACACTCGGAAATAATCAAGGACGTTGGTTACTCATGTATTGATTGAAAATCATGTTTCACTGCCTGTTGCTGAAAGCTGACATGGTCTGCACAACCGTTGATCATTTGTTACTTTTATTATTAGTTGCTATTTTTCCACATGGTGGTAGTTTGTTTGCAGCGGGCGAAACTGTCAAATTGAGGGGAACGCAACCAAGAAGGCGGATGACAAGGGAATGCCGCAGTCTTGCCAAGGCTTCGATCATCCTAATCCCTACTAAAGCTAGCACTGTTACGTATTGTTTCCATTGGTAAGTTGAGTCAGGTGGGTTCGACAAAATACGCTGAACGACGGAGGATTGGCGCTGGCACCAAAAGCGATTGTGGGACACCAAAAGGAATCAAACGATCTCGATCGAAGAGGAGCGCGACGAAACTATGAAACTAATAAGCCAGAAAACGTCTGTACCAGACACGTTCGTCCTCCCGCAGTAGGCCCGCTGCTTCGCTGTCACGAGCGATTACTTGCCACTCTAACTAACTGCTCGTCGTCATTGGCATTGACACTTTACCGTACTCGAAAAAAATCGTTCTTCACACATGGCACGCATCTTCACCCGCCCAAGCTGAAACAGCTACAGAGAAAGGCAACACAAACACATTATAACGATATACACAACATACAATAACCATAATGATAACTAGTATTCTTACAGCTGCAGGATCCGGCTGAAAGGAGGTACGCTATAAATGACTGAAGGACGTAAGTCGATGCGAAGGTAAGATTCTGGCTATTAATGTTATTTGTCTGATTCTTTGTTAGGTGGTCAATTATAATCGAAGCCGATCAGCGTGGTCGCACATCTGCTGCAATCATACTATACCTCCATCGATACCTGAAGATCGTAACCTAACAGAATATTATAACGCTTGCGATCACCACATCATGGTTCAATTGTTCACAGCGATGCTTCATGAAAGACGAATCGTTATCGTATCACGGTAAGATTAATCTTACGGCAAAATACGACCGATTACCTTTGCATCAAATAGCCGTTAATGTTGGATTTGTAAATGGTGCTGATTGTAATTATGCACTATGAGCGCGTACAGTAGATAACCTGCGGTGTTAATCTTTAATGAACTTCAGCCGATTGAATCGGTTATCGTCGTGCGTCCAAGCGGCGAATCTGCTTATCTACCCTATGCAATGGCAACATCTCTTCATTCCCGTACTGCCTCTCGCTGTGGTAGACACCCTCAACGCACCAATGCCCTACCTCATTGGTAAGTTCCTCTAATGTCAAAAATATATTGTTTTTCGGTGGTGGACACTGGCGGACGAATGCAGAAGATCTACAATCGTTACTCATTAATAGACTAGCTACGAATACGTTTAATAAATTCTTAGTTATCTTATGGCAGTCTACTGTATATGTCAAATCGTCGCAATTTCAATATATCTCCGGTACATCCAGTAATATCAATACACCCCAGTAGTTTTCACCAGTTCCGCTTGATTCGATAACTGATTCGTAATCAAAGTTAGGTCCGTCCAGTTGTTATGCTAGTATTAGACAGTTTAAGGCAAATGTGCACATATTCAAGATAAAAAAAAAACCAATACATCTCAATTCGAGTACCGGGACCAAGTGTAACAACAATCGCACAAAAGCTAATATCATCCATTTTGTTTGTCGCGCTGCCCATACTTTTTTGTGTCATGACACTTGCTATTATTATAGACATTTCGAACAAATTTTATTCAACACGTCTTATGTACAGAGTCCGAAACGCACCGCACACGTAACTGTCTATACATAGTTAGTGCCATCGCCACGAGGTTGAATTATACATGTTTCAGGGCACGCAAAATCAACAAGGAACCTAAGATTACGGGTTACGTTGTCGCTGGTAGTTTTTGTTGTAACGATACCCCCTTTTGGCTTTGAAGGAGCGACAGGTCGCGTTGATGCGCGTGGGCCCCACCTTCGACGGCCGTTGAAAAATACACTGTTGCTGTTACGGTGCCGCTATTGCTCATTCTTGCCCTTTCGACGATTCTGTCTTTCTCTACATCTCTTTCTTCAAGTGTCCCGATTCGCCACTCCTGCTTATAGAGCGAGCAGGCGCTTTGGCGTTTCCTGTTTCTGCACCTCCTGCTCGTTCTGTTCTTTTTTTAGATTTCTGTTTGTACTGAGCTGCGATTGACCGCTACGTATTGAATTACTTGTTGGTTTAGCAACGGCGATGGCAAAATAATAATCCGCTGGTGACCTTAGCAATAATGTTACATGACGGCTGTTGCTTATCTGCTGCTACTTTATGGTGGTCATTACTTGCTCTTAATGAACAGTTTTCTTTCTATACACTTACGTAATGCTGAACGGAGCTTATGTTTACGGATGACGATTATGTGTGGAGAACTTCAATCCGTTTTGGGGGTATTTTGGACTTCGATTTCTGCGAATAGGGATAGACAAAAGGAGAAAAGCGATCGCATAACATTTGCAGATTATGTTTGCCTCTTAGATTATTATATATCATTCCAATAGTAAACTTGTGGTAATTGTACGGTTAGTGTAAAAATCCTAGAGATTTTACAGGGTCAACGAAATTTCGAACACTTTTGGATTAATAGTAACCAATGTGCACAGCTATGTGCTATCGGTGACTAAAGCCGAAATTGAGCAGTTCAATTAGCGTAAGGCTCAGACTGCTGTCGAGCTCAAGGAGAGCACCTTGGTCGAGAAAGAAGTAGAGCAACATTAAATTTAAACATTTAATAGGAACTATTGGGAACATTGCTACTTACCATTCTGTGGAACTGAACAGAGTTGCTTCCCCCTGCCGTTTGCGCGCTCCAGAGATGCGATCGCCTCTTCAGTGTGACATCCCGTCTTCATCTATGATAAGCAAAACAACACAGGCCATAAAAAATGGAAAATACCCGTCAGGTTTTTCTTCCGGGTGAAATCTCTGGCCTTCCACAGTTAGTCGTGTTTTTGCGACATTGCGCACCGATTTCAGCACGGTTGTTGGCAACGAAATAGTTAAATGAACGAGTCGCGGCGTATGTCACTCATACATATGTCTACTGTTTTTTACTTTCTGAACATATCAATCAACGATATATAAAGGATTTGAATATACTGTGAGTAGATATTACCTTATATTACTTATTATCCTATATTAGTATTTGTCAATTGAAAACAAAGAGATGATCATCAACAACAATTTCGTTGTAAGCCTCTCAAATGTATATTTTTTTAGGCTTTAAGTACACTCTGAAAAGAAGCGTGTTCTAAGTACGAAATTATAGATGAAAATATTTTAGTACTCCTCACTCAAAATTTATATAAATAAATAAAAAGTCGCCTAAAAACCCACTCGGTCCGACTTTTACACAAATATACATATTCACATCGAGTCGGCAAACGGTGTAGAAGAAAACAAAGCATAAAGTGGCAAGAGGTTGTAGTATAGCACCAACTCGATTTCAATATCATTGTCTACAGCATCGATTTTGGTGGTTTTGTTAACTAAATAGGCGTGCCCTCCTCGACATGGGAGCGCGTCCGCCAGTCAGAATTAGGGGATGTGGTCGTATATCACGCCGATCAGAATAAATTCTCTAATCCTTTTCGCGACAGTCTACCAAGCGAGATTGAAGCAGGATTGAAACGAAAACTCAAGAACCAGGACGCGCAACTTGGTAAGTTCTATTGGTGTGTCCTCGTACAAATCCGATATTTACCCTAATCCTAAATAAAGAAATACTAAATTAAAAAAATAAATAAATAAATAAATAAATAGGAGTTATATGATCAATATGATGTAATGGCTCAGAGTGTATTTGTTTGGCTTGCACGTAGTTAGTTGGCATATTAATAATCTGCAAATTTACTACTTTACGTATGAGTAATCAAGCAATAAATCCCATAGGGCTTCTCTTGGCCCTTGATCCATTAGCGACAGGCGATTTCTTTGTGTGCATGTACAGTTCACTGTGCAAGAAGTTGCACATCAGCCAACGTTCTTGACTAAAGTAATTCGCTAAAAGCTAAACTCGTAGAGGGGACGATGCGGTGGGCCGCAGGTAGAACGCGTTTAGGTCGATCATGCCAGCGGACCTGCGCTTGTAATTAATGATCATGTATGTATGAAACCCTAAGAACACTTCACCTGCCAGATATTTATCGTACGCGTTTACTTCATATTTCTACGTTATTCTTAGTAGTAGTACGCGTGGGTCAAACATGGAGGTATCTTCGACTTGAAAATCCCATTTGAACGCATCTATACTTGTATAAAAGAAAAGATAGTAAAGAAGTTCAGCAGGGATATGATAGTTAGGTACAGGTGAGTCTATTCGAGGACCTAGTGATATTAAATAAAGCGTATATTCAAACCCCACCCGGTCAATGATGTGTGCTGAGCATTTTTTTACGACGACAAATGACTAGAAACATCAGTGATGATTTTCGAATTTGCCACATTCTTTCTCAAGTGGTCATTTAGGTGGTCTTCCAAAGTGACTTTTTCATTATTGGCATTTGTATTCTTTCGTCACGTCGATCTCTCGTAGCCGTGCAAAAAGCCTTGAACGTTGAAAAGCCACTGAAGTCTACTTTGTAAATTGTTTCGAAAGGCTCCTACGGTAGTTTCCTTGACTTAAATCAAAATTTAAAGATTAACATCCCATGATTACAATCGATAACAGTGACTGCGCTCGACACAAGCTAAGTTCACAACGGATTTTTTCGTTCGTTACTTACCATGTGCAGCCAATTTTGCCACTACTACATGTACGTTTTGAATTACCAATTGATATTTTCTTCATTTCTGAATGACAGTGTCGCGATAGAACAACACTAGTCTAAAATTGTCTTCATTTCTTCTAGATGAATCTGTTTATTCTTTTGATTTGTTTTTAAGAAGTTCAGGGCAAATGCATTATACAAATTAGATTTTAGGTCTAAAATATTTATCCGGTACTACGAGACATTGCTGGCCTAAAATCGTCTTCTTTGTCTCATAAACGAGCCTTTTTGTTTTTTTTTTATTTTTATTGTAAATATCGAAGAAACGTTCATTTAGTCGATTATTACAATTGAATTTCAAATCAACAAGTAATCATGATTAAGGGAGCTTGAATACTGCTGAAATCGAGAAGATGATCATAAGCTATGGTGCTGTCTTACGTTGATTTTTTTCATTATTCGATGAAGCAAGCTTATTCTTCTCTCGATTCGTTTTGCGACTCTTGCGGGGCTTGGCTATAAACATTAGCGATCGAAATCTTATAGTATTAGATTTCCATTGGTGACACGTTATCGCTGGACGATCGTAGTATACTAAACATTACACATGACCATGTATACGCTTATCGTATCAGCTGCTTTCTGCTAACATTGGATGCATACGACGTTTCTACAGTTATAGGACGTTGCAGTAAACGTAAATAAATTATGGTACGCTACCATCATATAGAAGGCAATTTTATCCGAAATGTTTTGTTTATTAGTTGGATTCGTTTTAATCCTGCTTGAAATATTTGTTATCTCGCGAGCCTCGATTCAGTTACTTAGATACTTACAAATTAGATTTACTGACCATACAAGCATGGCTTTGATGGTTGTTTTTGTTACTAATGTATATTGTTTCAAGTTGTTTCATCTTGAATTGCATTCATATAAGGCCTACTATAGGTAGCGTTTTTACGAACATGTTATTAACATAAAATGCAGCAATTGCTTAAAACGTATCCTTTTTTTAGAAAATCTTTAACAGAACTATGCGTGCTAAGTGTGAGCATATTGGAATATAATAAAGCAAAGTTTTTTTAGATGCCTAAATATCATCAACCCTCGAAAAAATTGTTGTTATTATTTGACATTATTCGTTTTCAGGTGACGGATTCGCGCAGGCGTTCATGCACGTTCTGGTCATATTGATCGGAGATTACCGTTCGGGATTCCGACAAAACCCGCGGACAGGGAAGGTCAGCTGATTTCTTCGTATATTTTGCTAATCAATTTTGACTTGCTTTGGTAGCTAGGACAAAGCCGTTCGCCAGGAGTTTTCACTGTATTGGCAGAGCCGAAAATATTGTTTTTTTCTTACCATGATGACCTGGGCCCTAAACAGGTGTGAAATGTTAGCCCGAACCATCCCTAAAGTTGAAAAACGAATTTTAAGAACTTGGCTGATTCCTGAAGAAAATGTTCCGTTGGATGTGGCACAGGGTAATGATTTAGTATCAAAGACATGTCATGGTAGGATCAGCTGCTTCAATATCATAAGGCGGACGGAAAGCTATAACGCGATGTATGAACTGATCAAATATGTCAGTTTAAACATAAACACCCTCTCGCTGAATTGCTGAATTCAAATGGTTGCTTAGAAAAACAAGAAGCGCAAGAACTTGAATTGGCCATACCCGTACTCCTCGTATAAATAATGCCGTGATAAATCGACGGATTTAGCTTATCATATTATAGAGCACACATATTTCATAGTGTGCAAATGGCTTTAGTACTATTTTGTTATAACAAATGTTACCCTCTGTGATTTCTGTTTTATTTCCAGTTGGACTTCGATAAAGAACGCTTTCTGCAGGCCCAACCTTCTTCGCTACGCCCATTTCTAGAAGGAATGCTACAGCTTCAGATATTCGCTGAATTTGTTGAAAATCGGATGCGGCGTGTAAATGAGCCTATTTCAGATAGATTCGAGATCGAAACGGCCATACTCAATAAAAATAGCCACAAGTAAGTACAGTTATTTCTTATATTATAATAGCCCCATAAATGTCACTAAAAAGAGGAGAAGCGTGGTAGGGAAGTTCGGAAAAAAGTGTGCGTGGAAAGAGACAAAGAAAAGTAAGCAAAGCTAGTGAGGGAGAGAGCAACGACTCGTCGAAAAGAAAAAAAAGCGGTACATAGATAAATGGGCTGAAGAGAGGAAAAGGCAGAGAGGGTAAATAGAAAGGGCAGTGGGATAGAGTCATAGAGCTTAAAAGAGAGAGAGGAAAAAGTAAGAGTGGTAAGATGAGGGAAAAACATGAGTAAGGTCATTGGAAATGGGTCGACGAGCCTGCTGACCTCATTCCACGGGATATGATATAGAGTCGGCCCATTGTTGGCTTCTAAAATTTTATTAGAAGTTTTAATTTAACTAACTTATATTTATTTGTTCGCACTTTCTTGTTTTGTCGTTTCTATAAGGTTCAAGTATAAAGAGTGGCTTCAGCAAAAGCCGGCATCTGCTGTTCGATCAGCGTACAAACAGGTGAAGCAGACGGGAAATCTTGTGAAAGACAAGAGCCGTAAGGCAGTCAAGGACATCCAGACTAGAATGAACAGTGGTGCACACAATGGCCATCACATGGGCCAGATCTCTGGCCCGCATGACAAGCTAAGGCGCCACAGCGCCAGTGGTCCACCACCTCTACAAAGAATGCACACTTCACCGAATATTCGTCTGACCCAGCCAATTGAACGAGTCGTCCCTCCGGAAAGACCAACGCCACCAAGACGTCCTACATCACCACCGCCTGCAGTGCCAGTTGTCAATGACCTCATCTGTCTTGACGATTCGCCAAAGAAACACATCAGTGGTCTGCCGAATGGTAACAGCGTCCTCGATGGATTCGAGGACAGTTTCGTTCCTTTAAATGGGCATACTAGCGGTGCAAATGGCCAGCAGCCGAACGGAGCGTCTGCGCAAAATGAAGTAGCGAAAGGTGCAGTGCACATGCGTGGAAGCACCAGTGCTCGAACCGCTGGAGGACGCTCTACTATCCCGCCGTTAAGCAACTCAACGTTTCACACATCAGCTTCCGACAATGTTCTCATAAGTAAATTCTACTCAGATTTTGACTCGAGACCTTCACCAGTGTCTCCTGTCAAGGTGCAAGAACTAATTGCGAACTTTAGTGGCCTGCAAATGAATCTGAAGAATCCAGTTGGTGCTGACCCAGCTGCTGGCGAACTTCTAAATGGGAGAGACGCAGCAAGTTCTCTTCCAGTTCTACAGCCGCCGCCACGAAAAATGGATTTGAAGAGGCATCCCCATCCGTCTCGGCCACCGAGAGCCCACGTTCTCCATCTGTTGAATGAGGACACGATGGAAGGGGGAGTCGCACCGCCATCGGCTCTTTCCGAATGGACGGCACCTCAGAAAGTTGCACCCACAAATCCTTTTTCTCATCACCTGTAGCTTTTTGAGGTCGAGGACAATACACAAATCAAAGGATCGGCGGTTCCATTTGACGAGTCATTTGTATCATTGTCTTTTTCAGTGCCTACCAGGTACATGCCAAGAGACCCTAACCCTCTTCCATCTTTTTGGCAGTCATCAAAATAGAAAGATACGTAAGACCTATTCAACGTTGGGTCATCGTCTCAACACTGATTGTTATGTACACGCAATGGACAAAAACATGGCCTGTGATGAACTGCTTACAAACAGTGCGTATATGGCAAAAACAAGAAGCAATTATTAGTAATCAAGACTGACTTGTTCTATCAAAGCCTCGTCTTCCTCTTACCACAAAAATCCCTATCAATATGAGATTCAAGATGTAACGTAAAAGCTTTTGTCGTCTTACTGTACATATATAGGCTATATATATATATATATGTATATATATATATATATATATATATATATACTGTTAATGTTATTGAGTGAGGGAGTGTACGACAGCAACGGTTGTTGCTAGATGAATATAGCAAATAAATATATAAAGTAAAAAGCAGAAAAACAAAAGAGATTTTATGCGCAAAATATATAAAAGTATAAAAATTTATTTTCCTGTGCCAAATTTAAACCGCGTTTTTATTTAAACGATAGCAAAAATCTAAAGCGAGCGAATTCGGTGAATTACACGATGGATAACACAACACATGCTTGGCAAAACTAATTATGGACGTGACTAAATCAAGCAGTGTAGAGCGAACAAATAGAAAAATAGCAAACCTGACCTAAAGTTATGTATTCAAATTAATTAAAAAGTTTAGTGTGTATTCATCGCAGACAGTAATGCATTTTAGTACATTACTGCTAGCCCATTTAAACAAGCAAAAGTTATTGCCTGTCAAAAATATTGTCTGTAAGGTGCATTCGGAATCTGATGGTATCAGTAAAACTAAGAATATTCCTATGACGACATCTGCGCGGAACAAGCGTCGCTTATTCGCTAATTAACGTCGCTTTGGCTGCAGCAAAGATGCCTAGTTCTCTTCGATTGTATGCCTTCAGGTTGAATAAAACTCTGGACGTCATCAGGTCTAAACGGTTCTGGTAAATGTTCATAGACATTCCGTTTGTCCGAATCTGTCAATGTTAATGCCCTAGAAACTGATGCCTATAGGAAATAGCCCAATACGTTTTTGGTCAAACCAAAAAAAGTCATGCAAAAATTGAGTGGTCTTGAATAACACACTACGCATGTAAACTTTAATGCAGTAGTTGCTATATTTTAAATTCGGTGCAAATCCGTAGCAGAAAGTACGAGATAAAGTTGTAACCTCACGCCAGGTACATAAAACGAGTAACGATTGAAGGTTCAATCGAGCATGTCATGGTGCTAGTTGACACAATTATACAATGGTCCTAACAGGTTGTATTTAGTTGCATTCGGTGCGGGTTGATTACCTATGCCGCAACAATTACATTCTTCAATAACTGGTAATCGGTAAGATGCCCACAGATCATTCATTCAAATCTGCCGCAGATTTTTGGCTGAACACTTCTAAGATATTTGCTTGTAAGCTGCTATCATTAGCAGCACCTTTTAAGTTAGTTTCTGTATAACATATTTCTAGACGCCGATAGCCTCATTGTAAAGAACTTCAAAAGGATGAAGTGCCCCGATCATGTCTAGGGCAAGACAATATGCTGTGTTTAATAAAAAAACGTTATTGACTTTAAAGATTAGTCGAATAGCTACCGTGAAACATTCATCAGTCGATTGCAAGGAACGACGAAGCACTCTATAGTGATGTATCTTGTTCGAATAGCTTTAATAGTGTTTACGGTGTATGAACCGTGTAACTGGGGAGCTGCGCTTCAGGTGTATAATACGACAGAGCAAACGTCGATAAAAAGTATCAACAATGAAACAAATGAGAGCAAGCTTCAGACGTTCGGTCAAAGTCAAACTTCAGAACAGGCTTCCACAGCACACAATGCCGAAGTCAACACGACAGAGGACGATAGCGGTCGAATGCCACGATACTTGATTTTTGTGATTGACTACTTCGTGAATTTGACCTCGTTCAAAAATGGTGATTCTAAACAAGCTATAGACTTACCGGAATCTTCAAATCTAATTCAATTTCCTTATAATTTAAATATGAAAGGATTCGTAAATCCATTTAATTCTAGCGTCTTGGCAGATAATTCGGGATCGCGGAAGGCACAAGCCGCGTTGTCAAGCAAACTCGCCGCGAGAAAGGCCGAAGATGAGAGAAGCGAACAGAAGCGTTCGGACTCTAGTCTCTTGTTTCTCATTGAGGTAAAGAAATCAAAAATTAGTTGCTAAAATTCTCTTTTAGCAGAATAACGGTTTCTTTAGTGAATCTATGAAAAATTGCAGTGTATACATGTAGTAGCCTTGAAAACCAGCCTGAATATGGTTACTTTAAATGTGAAGAAACAAATCAAGATCGAAGGAAATTTCTAGCAGCTAAAGATTATATAGAAAGTAGGTTTTTTAAATATAATATGAAACTACTAATAATCCAAGAAATTGAAGGAAAATTATTGATTATAATTAAAATTTTTTGCGCAGGTTGTCCTCGTCGTGACGGTGTCAGCCGTCGTTCTTAGCTTGCTGCTGAAAAAACCCTCCGCTCGCCCAGTTCTTCCCATACTTGGTGGAGGCAAACCTACTGTGGGCCTACCTCCGTATGTTTAAAAAGAAATTAAATAACTCAACCAACTAACACTCGGTAAAAAATGGAAGAACGAGTTTACTGAATCAAGTGGGCGGACCTTTTGTCTAACGACAGTTGCATGTCGAAAGTTTTTGACAAAATATGACCATTTGCATGTGATAAACTGTGTGTATTTAGTCTCTTAATAGATCTAGCAATAGCTTTCTTTCGAAAAGTGTAACGTCTACAAAAAACGAGTGGTTCTGCAACTATGTAAATGGAGCCACAATTGCAAAGGATACTTCAGCACAAATAAAAGCTCGGTTGTATTGTTCAATATAGAACGCGAGTCCCATTGTATGTCTCGTCATAATCACGATCATCATCATCAGTGAGGACAGTTAATCAACAAAATCATAAGTGCTAGACTCGCACGAATTTGGGTTAACCTATAGTGTATTTTTTAATGAATTTAATATGATGAGAATAAGAACGTTACTACCAGTAATTGATTTGGGTATGTCTCGAGCGACATGTGCCGGCAACAATTGAAGTTTCGGTGGAACAAAACCCAACTGCCAAAAAATGGATTTGTTGTGGAAATTTCGTATAAAATTGCTGTATGAAAATACCGATATACCGATTCACTTCAATGATGTACCAGTATGACAGGTGAACGTTAAAACTTACTAATATAACCCTAGACATAACTTAGAGCGTTTATGGTGTACAGTAAATCGCAACAATTGGTACGTCAATGCAAACTTACTCTAGATTTTATAGACTAAAGAAGAAAAGTGATTCAAATAGTCAGTCGAATACCAGTTTGGTGGAAGGAGGTGCTTTGCATGAGCATGAATATTCCGCGGCAGTTTTAGGGGATCATATTAGTCCCTATTTAGCCAGATTCAATTAGTAACCGGACAGCTCATTTGAAACAGAGCGCAATAATTCGTACCGTTGTTTTACTAGGTTCGAACAAAGTGTGATAGTACGTAATAAAAACCAATTGCCTTTCAAAGGCTTCTATGTGAATATTAGAGGATATGTCAATTAATGGATAAGTTGCGTATTTTATTATAGTGCATTTTTCTCCTGATCTTATTACAAGAGTTGAATTGCCTTTTGGACAAATGATAGACCTTCTGTGTTGAGTCACTGAACAACCAATGGTGAAGCTGCATTTACTCCAGCTATCGGTTAAGGCTAGGTCACGAATATTAGCTTTATATTTTATTAGCAGAGATATTAATGTAGATTTTTTTGCCGAAGACAACGAAGAGGTGGTGAAGAAGATTAGAAATAGATGACACTTTCCTGGAGATGCAAGCGATAATTGTTATGGGAGAAGTAACTGAATTTGGCAAGGCATGCTAGGATTTCAAAATATATCGGGCCAATTTGACAGTACAAATAGAGCAATTTATACTTAATATTCGTATTATACTTTAATATAATATGCAGTATTTCTAGTAATGTACCTAAATTTGAAGTACGGTTTAGTCTAAAAGTGCACATTAAGGTCGGAGAAAACGCAGGGCTACATTCTATAGTACAGTTTACACTATACAAAATAAGTGTGCCAAAGTCAACGATTTTCATATTGCACTGTATATCTAATGTTAATATCCTTAAAGGGCGTCGTGCAACAAAAATTCTTTGGACTGCTATATTTGACGGCAAAAAAGTAATGACAACCTGGTAAATCACGGTTGTCAGTCAATAGATTCACTTCACCTCGACATTTTAGTTATGCCTTTCTCAGTTTATTTGTGAAGTAGGTTAATTTTATCATATAAATTTTATATATATTATTTTAGCTCTATAAACCAGTTTGTTTAGCCCTCAACAACTGCTTACGTTCTCAGTTATGTCTGCTAGTATTTTCATGCGATACGCAAACGATAGTATCTGAATGATATGAAGTTATAAGCATCTACACTGCTATAGCGAAGCGCTTCATTCTAGGTTGTTCCATATCGATACACAGATAAAGGAGTCTCATACCGTTGATGTGCGCGTTCTTACTGTGAATCAAGTACTACATTGCAAACTTTTCGACTTCGAATATTTACCTCGAACAACTGGAAACGATGAAGCCTGAATGAACAACTGAAACAATAGAAGATTGAATTAGTTTTCAGGCACTTTGAATGTGAGCCTTACAGGGCTTAAATTGAAGTGAACCGAAGATTCTTGTGATTGAATTTCGGTTCAGTCCTCGACCAGAAAACTGCTGATGTGTTCGAAGATTTCTCGGCGAATGGGAACTCAACTCCTTGTTTTCATGACAAAAAGATCTGAGCATAAGTAGTACATCAAACCGGTATTCAAGTACTGTTCATTTTCTGACGAGTCTATATTGCTCAGGTGCATTGAGCAACAATTTTCTAGCGTTAGTACAATGGGTTGGTGGTTTTTTCCAAATCGCAACGATGACCACACAGTACTCGCGAAATATCTAAGTGGGGGACCTTACGGACTCGGGGACCCCAATGATAAGAGTTTGCGAAAGGTTGAAAAAGAAATTCTAATTCCTAAATTGATGCGTGATCGGACGAAAGCGGTAAGCTACTGTCGGAGTATTCAGGAGTCTGCAGGCATCCTGCAGCTCGTCCTGCTTTATTTCCATATTAGTTACAATTAGCGCTATATATCGGTATCCTAAGTTTTTGGGGATGATTCATCAAGATTAGCTATGTGAAAACCCTCTAGCTTCCATCATATCATGTTGACAGTAATTAAAATTTTGTCATTAGAGTTGCGTAGGTTGTTTTATGATATGAGAGAGAAATTTCAGATAATAGAAGATGATGAAAGCATGTCTTAGATTGAGTTTGGAGTACTATATTAAATGAACAAGTCAGTCTATTAATTTCCTAATTAAGGATTCCTAATTACGTATTACGCTTTGCACTCTTAACCCAAATTTTAAAATAAGAAAGGCATTTGATAAATTATGACGTGAGTCATTTCAACCAAAAGCTTACTATAGCTTATGGTATGTGCTTTCTAATGCTCCAGGAAAAGTGCGCAGCTGAGGTAAAGGCATTTGGCGAATGTGCTAAACGTGAAGGATTGTCAGTCGTTTTCAACTGTCGAAGAGAAAATGACGCCATGAAGTCCTGCATGGTAAGGTGGTACACAGACTCCCAGTTCAAGGAAGAGTGTACCCAGCAATATTTAGCCGATCGGACGCATTATCGTGAAACTGGTATCAAAAAGAAGAGAATGCCAAGAGGGGCCGTAAGGCCTGATGCAACCCCCGAAGTACCAACGTAATGAACGGTGCTGCTTATCCTTACAGGCTTATTATATTAGTTGAATAAAACTTGACATTTTATAAGTAAAAAAAATAAACGAGGACACTCTACTAATGTCTCTAGAAAAGCATTCATTTTAGTAGATTCTACAGTGACGTTTTTTTTAAGTGTGCATTAAAAAAGACTATTCTTTAAAGTATTTAACGTAAAATTAGTTGTGCAAAATCAGTAAGAGGAACAAATACAAACCAGGAATGACCGAGTCATACCCTAACAGAAAATAAAGTCAGGACATTTTCGCGACGAAGATCCACCGATCCGTAGTCCTATCATAAGTATTGTAGATTTTATGCTTACGAGAGGTTTTATCAATGAGATATTCATCTAGGCATATTTTTTCCTTGATAAAATATTCAGGAACAGTAAGAGTGAACCTATCTCATCCGTTTACTCACAGGCTTTTGCCAGTGTTTCTGGGGCTGTTTACCTGTGGTTATCGAAATCAATGCCTTCCGTACAGCTCGATTTTATCAGCCCGGAGTGTGAGACTCAAACATGCGGAATTTGCTCGCGTTCTGAAAATAGGTTTAGTTCAATTTCTCCACGGAGTTAGACTTCTTGCATAGCCATGCTAAAATCGCTTGAGCAGAAAGCTGCGATAAAATTTGACCCTTCCGTGTAGGCAAAAAGGACACCGGCTGTTTCTTGAAATTTCTAAGAAGAATCTAACTCTCGGCTACTGATACGACGTTCTTAAGAGGATCCATCTGGACTTTGAAACTAACTTTTATGCTAATAGGAGCATGAAAGTTATGTAACGTATAACGTACCAAACGAATTAAAGTACTTAGGCTAATGGTCCAAGTTTTTAGTCAGATGGGCGCAAATACGCCAGTGCGGTTTAAATTCACACGGGAAGTCAAGCAATTCTTATCTGGCGAAGTCAAAACAGCATAATTTACTATTTGTATACAGGAGCTACGGTTTGCCACAACCTTCGCACCGTCAATATCAGCGAAACCGGCACTGCCAGTGCTACTAAATTTATGGAATGCTCAATGTTAAAACACTTAACTGTATGGAGCACACTATGCTTTTTATAAAGTGTCTCCTACGAAAACGAAAAGCGTGTGAAACGTAGAGAAACAAATTTTGCTAAATATACCAAGAAACACTCGCTTTACTACACTTTATCATATATTTATACCATTACATTCGTTCCAATATCTGCATTCTGCTTTACACTAAGTTCCAGTTCTCTTCTGATGTTCCTGTTTATCTGGTTTTAAATTTCCGTAATCAGTACAATTGACGAAGCAATTACACGCATTCCTCATGTTCAGTTTAAGGAAACTTTGTACACCGCCGATGCCGTCAAACGACGCAAGCCCGGCTGTAGGTGTTGTCATCTGCTTATCAGCCGAGCTCTGACATCCGTCGTATTCATTCTACGGCCAGTTAGCACCGTAGCCTGGCTGCATAGCCACTCTTCTACTTGAATACAACCGTATCAAGCATAGCTCCAAGACACTGGACAATATTGGAGGTCATAAGAACGTTGACCTTTTCTTCGAGATGTCTTTTTGGGTCTTGCTTGCCCACATTCTTGATAGCCAGCTGTTCGGGTGTCATTTTATCCTCTTCTTCGAGCGCCTTATGATACGCCTTGGCAAGCTTTAACATTTCATCCACAGTTGCCTTATTGTGTTCACTATGTTCCTAAAATATAGGCCATTTCAAAGAAAAAAAGGTAAAACTCTTGCTTAATACACAGTAACTAAAAAGAAAACTATGAGTAGATATTATGCTTAAGAAAAATGCAAGTGCACGCTAGTATTATTTGGTTGAACTTATTATATAATAATAACTTGTGACTATAAGCAAGATAGAATTACCAGGTACTATTAGCTTCCGCATACACGGAGCACCTCGGTATGCCGCTTGAGCTATCCTACCTTATATTCTTGCAAGATAAGCCCCTCTTCCCAGGACTTTTTGTTGAGGTTTAGGAGCATCTTTTGCTCTAGCTCATTTTTCCTGTAGTTTATTGAGATTGAATAGTAATGCCGATTGAGGCCGTGGATGAGAGCCTGAATCGACGGTTTATTCAGATGTCCAAGATTTGACGTGGTTTGTCGAGGCTCCTGATTAAGCACCATCATGTTAGCCTGAATCAATCTGTGGAATCACCAAAAAGATGCATCAATAACGTGACATGTCAGAATTATTTAAGAGTAAAATGAGAGGCCATTTTTTTTACCAGACTAAACAAGAAATAAAAGCCTATTTTCTTTTATTCTGTGGCTGCAATTTATTGGCCAGACACTGTGTTTTATGCGGAATACGACAGAACATTGCGATAAAGCTGAAGTTTTGGAAGCTCTGTCCGTTCTGCGTACCATCAACAAAACCAGTAGGTCAGGTTATCTAGGTGATGGCCCAACATTTCAGCGTCACAAGATAGTCACTGCCTAATTCGCGGTGTGGCATTCTTTTTGAAAGCAATGATATTGACTAATTCAAAATAATGCCATAACTATAGACTTAAACGTCAGCATAGCAAAAATTACCTCTTAGCTCGACTAAAATATTCAAATATCGACGGTGCTCATATACTCAAACTTACCAAATAGAAAGTCAGTATTTTGCAAACACTCGCCTTAAATGTCGAGACCTTGATGTTTAGGAAACCAGCAAGTACCTACCTAATCGCTGCTAACGACACAAACTTATAAGTTGGCCAATTTTTGAGTGGACTTGCGACTATAGATTCTACTTTATTGTTGAACAAAAATGTTTCTGAACTTTGATTAGCCTTTAGATCAACTGGTTTAATCTACACAATGTTCTCTGGAAACAAATGCGACTGATCAGTTTGCAGTTGTCTAGTGAGAGTGTGCGATGGCATATGATGGTTTCAGAGAAGTCCTTAGCAGTTTAAATGATGTTGGTCTGCTCAGCTGGCACGATCAGCGACTACTATTCGAATTATACGTATTGTATTTAACTGGAAAAACATTTTCCGCAGAACCTCCTATCAGTAAATCGGCATTTAACTTGCTGAGGTAAGTACTTACCGGAAAGCGTCAATGACTACTTTTCCTTTGACCGATTGAATCGGATCAATAACAACTGCAACTGCGCGATCCGTTAACTGTTCGAATGACTGTTGTGTATTGATGTCGACGCCGGAAAGCCAGCAACCAAACCCTGGATGCGAATGATACCATCCGACGACCATTTCTGGCCGACCTGTCTGTTTCAGCATATCTAGCATTTTTGCCTGAAATACGGGATCGACAGCTTCCACGGAAACGCCAGTACCTGAAAATCGGTATTACGTATGCAAAACAAATACTTGAATAAACAAAACGAGCAAGAACAAACCTCTACCTGTAACATGATCTTTAAGCAAAACCTAGGTTACTTCTCTCCACACGGAATTGTTCAGCCATAAAGCAATATCAAAATTATATATCGATACATTTTGTGCTTGGCTTCGTGTTCGAAAAGCCAGTGCCATCGACGTATTATACGCAGTATATGGTTGAGAAAGGCAAGCTGAAAGTATCTGTAGCCTATAGTGGCTTTCAAATGACGTACCTGACTGTGGCATGGCGAAGACATCATCGACGCGAACAGTATAGTCATCAACAAACTCGCCCAACATAAGACCCATAACCTCCATGGGCACACCGGCCCGACCATGCTTCAACATTTTGAGAAGGGCCAACGATGAAATATACACTTGTTCAGCGGTGTCAACCACTGGACCATCTGTATTTGGAGGAGGCTATAAATACACATGGATAAATATAGCAAAAATGCACTACATCACAGAACTGCTAAGCAAGTATCGGAATAATTTTGCACTGGCGGTTTATAAGTGTTTTTTTTCTATATTTTTTCTGGCACTCACTCCCTATCCATATTATTTGTATACCCACGATTGGCGAAGCTGTGCGCTTTGTCGTAGATATATTAGTTCAACTCCCTTAGGGAAAAAACTGAGATGGAAGACTGTGTTTTTTTATTTACTCATACGTATATCAATGTTTCCTTTCCGCTAAATATTACTGGGTGGTGGCTGCTTAGGGCGAAATATACCACATAGCAAAAATCCAATAGAAACCCTTAATCAAATCAGTTAAAGGCGCTGTGCTAACAGTGACTATGCTAAGAAAAAAATAAGCACAAGAATGATGATTGCGTTTCAGGCTACATACGAGATGGAAGCATCAGCTGTCATGTATAATGTACTGGAGTGGCATTTACAACAGGAACATATACTCCGAGACCCTTTTCGTTTCTACTTGGAGATAAAAGGTTACCGAACCATTACTGATACTAAACCGTTTGTTTTGCTGTTTCCTCATTCCTGTACTAATTGTTTTCCCAGGTTTTTCAAGCGCCACCAACCATTTTCCAAGAGAAATAGGAGTAGCTAAATACGTCACAAGTTTCTGTCTATTGTTATTATTAAGCTATTAAATAACCTGCGATTCGACTGCGTATCAACTAATAAGCATAAGTCACAATACAAGAATCTCGAATAAGCAAATATGAAAAACACGCCATATAGGTAATTTGACAGCAATAAAGATTGTAAACAATCCCTAAATGTGTTTAAACACAGGCTATTCGTGAAGATATTAACCTTATATGGCTAATGCGACAAAAATTTGGTGATATTTTCAGATGCAGGATTCATGTAAAATACATGACATTTATAGATACAGTATTATCGGTTTCAAAAACTATTGTAAATGGGCTTCACGCTTTTTTGATATCTTTAACCTGACTGAAAGAAAACGATCTCTTTTTATCAGTCTAAGAAAAAAAACTTTTTAGAGTTAGGCAGCCTCATCGACAGGGTTTTGTCGCCAACTGGAAACTTCAAGATAGAAACAACATTTTGTTTATATCGAGAAACTTTCGAGAATATGCCATTGTGTGCTCAGTTAGGATCGTACATCACAACGACATGAACTATAAAAGAGTCTTAATTAGCAGATTTAAAGCTGTTAACATACATGACATTCTGTTCTGGGCCATGGCTTGTCTTAACCCGAAAGCCAGAAATCGTAGCGAATAAACTCAATATTTTCTTTCTTTAATCTAAAATAACACGATTCTAGGACTGCTCCAAATAATATAATAATTGTAATACTTACTTGTCCAAGTCCCGACAGACCTCCGCCAAACCTCAAAATTCTTTCCATAATGACAAATTTTTCACTAGCCTAAAAGCACTTCTTACACTAAGGAACTAGTTTGCACACACACAATCAGACACGGATTAAAAATAATACACCGTCGCTAACGATCCTAAGCTTTCAGTCCTATTGCCCACTCGTACCCTGCCTGTGAATAACAAGCCGAAACCACAAAGTGTACGTCGTACACTTTGTGTTTCTCACAGTGGGTGAGTGATTCTGCAAAACCGGCTTGCAGACAGCTTTAGCTCGCGGCTCGCAGCCCGGACAACAATAAACAACTTGATAACCGTCCGTAGAGTACAAACAATATACAGACTAGATAACTCAGGGGGTCTGGACGTACACTGTACATTTGTTGCGCTAGATCAGTAATGACAATTCAATGATACTACTATACCAAGTCTAGTTGTTACTTCTTGCAGCCTGTCCAAATACCCTGTCATACAACGCTTAAAACCCAGTCACATCAGTTTTTCCCAATGGTGTATCCCTGTTTGAGAGACCAAAATCAGCTGACCGTCTCCTGATTTATCCGCTGCAATTTCCGAAATCTAGTATATCTCTCTCTATTTCTCTCTCCATTTCGTTCATCCTGCTTCCCATACAATATCATCAATGTACTAATCATCATCGCCGAGGTTAGCAGTCGCAGCGGCCCTGTCGTCTTGGGGCGAGGGTCTTATTGCAGTTTCATCTCATAGTGTGCATAATATCTGTCTATGTAATAAGAAGTTGTGCGAAGAGTCGGAGTGCTGTTAGCAGCGACGGCGCCCGCGGATACGCGGGAATTACCGCTAGCGCAGTTGAAGTGAACAACCAATCCATCGCCCCTTACCACCGCCTTACGATAGCGAAGGCAACAAGAACAACACCACACGGTCATTGCTTACCCTTTTAGTCTGCCCATTGGTCCTCCCGTCGAACCTCTATATAACTAATTTTCTCTGCTGGGGACGTACAGACGGATTGGCTCATTTCTATCGCTAGTAGTGGTAAGTGACAAGTGACTGTTATTCGCCTACACGCGCACCACTATCGCTGCAATAAAAGCTGTATGTCTTAGGAGAAGCAGTGAATGTCTGTATTCGTAGGCGCGTCGTGTTCGATTCTGTGCCTGTGTGCGCTTCTCGTGCTCCATCCAGTCAACGCTGTGCTTGGAGCGTTTGTGTATTAGGTAAAAAGACAACAACGTAAGGTGGAGAGGTTGGCGGGTTTCAAAAGTAAGACTAAAGAAAAAAGCAGATGTCGTTTTACAAAGGCAAAAAAGGCTTTTTACATCGAACCAAGGAAGAAAGGGACTTAATATTCTGCGCTGATATTGGCTGCTTCCGCAGCAGCTAGCTTACAGCTGGTCGACCGAAGAAAAGATTTATCTGGCGCTGATGCTCTGCGCGCGCGTACAGCATTTAACCGACGTATACCAAAACGAGTGTAACGTGATGTGCAAGTAAACGACACGTATATGGTGCGTCATGAAGTGACAATGCACTGATGATTTTTCTAGCGTACTTATTCTGTAGTGTTCTGTTTATATTCTACTTTGTGAACATCATTCAGAGCCTGCGTAATTTACGAGGGGCGAAGATTCGACGAAATTTAAAGGAAGGCTTGTAGGTATTGATGAGTCAGGGTCGATTGCCCCGTAAAGCAGCATAACAACAACTAAGCAGAAGAATCAATGTTAAGCGAGAAGAGAGCTGTAACGGCAATTGCGGTAGCCGTGGGCAAAAATCAACTTTACAGTCTTTCCTACTGCTGAATTGTTCCGCGGCGGATATTTGTTTAGAACCTAATCAGAGGCACTGTATAGCCGTAACAGTGGCTATATTCAGCGTGAATTAAAGCGTCTAAGGTGTGTTTATTTGTTCACATAACATTTACCTTTTTCCCACTCACTGGCCAGTCAGCTGATCCATATACTGAGCTTGCCAGTGAGTGTAGTGCATTAAAAACATTAGCGGAGTTAGGCTGGTTTGAAAACAGATATCGTATATTTATATTGTAAAAGATCTGTTATGACTGTAACTGTTAATTGTCCTATCTACACAAAGAAAAGTGCGCAGTATCTGTATGGTAGTACAGTATTTATTCAAGTCGTAATAGACAGGCAAATAACTGATTACGTTGTTTTTTTGCAACGGGTATTTCTCGGTTTAGATTGTCATTCTAACTGGCTGGTTTTCTCAACAGTTCTAACTGCAAACAGGACTGAGAAACGCAAAAATTAATTTACCAATTTCCGTTTTCTTCAGTCGTTTTTCGATAAATAAATAGATATCACTAGGTATGTTGATGTATTGCAGGAAAATAGTTTGTTGACAACTGGCAATAGAAATTAGTAAAACGCACGCGAGGACATCGTGCATCATCTTTCTCTACTAGACAACAGCAATTGAGTGCTATGAGTGGTTGGCGAGTAAAGTATCGGCCATGTTAGACTGTTGCTGGAGAGTGCTTAGTAAGTGATTTCAAGACAAATTTTCAAAGTAGGCAACTGAGTGTATAAACAGGCACCAACTGACCAGAACATTCTTATTGCCTATAGCCCTAAAATAGATAAAGGATATATTACTCGAAAGAAACGATGAATGTGGTTTTAGTCATATGTAGATTTAATTATAACACCTATACTCATCCGCTACGATTTTATGTAAAACTCGTAACCTTCTCACTAGATTACCTAGAGTTCCGCAGTTGCTAAAAGCAAAATCTTTAGGGAAAAATTACGTTTTCCCTTTTACTTTCGAGACAAATTTGTTAGGCGATGTCGAAGCTATTCAGGCGTGCTTGTTAGTATTGACCTTTGCTTTACGACAAATTTTTTTTTCATGGGCATTGTAGCGTTTGTCAAACTGCACTGATTAGCTGCGCTCAATAACTAGCTGAAGGGTGAAACGTACTTCATTTACTCCGAAAGCGATATAGGAAAAATTTCAACTCACAGTGGTTTTAAGTACGATTGTAAGAAAAAACGAGTGCTTAATTAGCTTCTAAATCTGTATTCGCATATTACGGCACAATTACATTGGCAGTTACTACAGTTCTGATTTACTGACTCGAGATTGCAATTGCAAAAAGCTTCGCAGATGTCTGTCACTCATGTCCACATATCTGGAACAGTCTAATGATATCAAAGCAGAGGATCCAGCAGTCTATTGCTGCAACCACTGTCGTGCATATTACTCTGTTATTATCAACATAATCCGTTACGCGTACAAAACAAGACTAAAATATATTTGTCCTTTTAGCTAGCTGTTTTGTTGTGTTTGCCGTAACTGATCAAGACTGACTTTGCTAATTGTATTTTAGTATCTGTCGTTTGCGAGCTAATCTCTCCTAATCGTATCGCCGCCTGCGTAACTTTGAGAGGCATGCGCGATAATTTTAAGAGCGGGGCATTATACCGAACGAAACTATCAAGCAGTTTTAGCGCATATATCCATCTTGTTTGGCGAAATTATGAACCATTTTAAAAAAACGCAAGATTAAAACTCTGCGAAACCTTAAATAGTGTTTGAAACCAAAGTTTCCGAAAACTAGAGAATCCTATACAATGTATGGAAGACTCGGAAGTGTTAATCGTATACATAAAATTAGTTTCTCCCTATGATATTAATCATTGTTTTTGTGCTCGAGCTGGCCTATTAATAATAGAGTTGATGTAAAAGAGTATATAGATGTATATTCCCTATAGTATGTTTCCTGTAAAATCAACAACGCCTTTTAAATCAACATTTCAAAATTTACGTCTCAATAAAATGCGTTCTATTTTCTCGACGTTCTCCTCGTATATAGGCGTACGTTCACGTCCAAGGAACCAGATTAGTTAAACTGAGCGCGCCAGATGCCAAATGACTCCGTCATGCTACTATCTAAAACTGGAATATGTATAAAAACAAATGATCTTGTACATAAGATTCTCAACTTTCTAGAGGAACTAGGTGTCATATTTGAGTCAAATTTTATGAATCTTTGTAATAGTACTCTTGTTACATTCTAGAATGGTAGACCCTAACTTCAAGCAGACTCGCCATTCAAAATCAGACATGCTGACTTTCTTTCGAGTTTAGTTTTCGGGAAAGGATAATAAATTCATTGTAAATAGCTTATGCAGGAAAGACACTGTACGCTAGCTTTGACGTGACATATTCCACTTTGCAACCGTCTGAACCTAAAGGTCATGTATACTATTGAGATTTTCCGTTGGTGATAATAATGATAAAAATACTAACCTAAATAACAGACTAAAATGAAACGAATGTCCTATATAATGTTTTGCATATAAATGAAGACTACTCCAGCGATTTTAGTGTTAGGGCTTTTTTCTGAGTAGTAGACTAATGCTGCAAGTATTACAAGCCTTCTAGCGTTTCTCAGACATCTTTTATTTCGAAACGGCGTTTCTAAGTAATATTTAGGAACGGCACGATTTGGGTGTCTAGTTTGCATCTCTTCACGTTGCCATGGTAACTATGAACATGAGATGACCGCTGATTCAGATTTCAGCGTTGGCACGTGGTTGTCATAACCTATCGTCGTCATACCATTCCATAAGTCTTTCAGAAAAACCCCAAATGAGTCCAACGAAATCCATCCCGAATAGACCTTCTAGTGGCGGCAAGTTCTTGACACTATGCAGAATAGGCGATTTCGAAAATTTGGTCATAATAATAGAAATAGCCGAAGGCTCCAAAAAGTGGTATTGAAATTATAATGAGAAATTAATTATAGATAATTAAGAAAATAAACGAAAAAATGAAGCAGCTGGCGAAGAATATTTTGGACTAGGGATCATCGTCTGTTTTCCTGTATAATAATGTAATCAAAACTAGTCATTGTTCGAATTTAAAATTATGCTGCTTTCTCACAATAGAATTCAATCATAATTGCCAATCCGCAGGGGGTGCTCAAGGCGGTGGATATGGCGGGCGTTGGAGATAACTCTACAACGCCCAGTATTCATAATAATTGTGCCTCAGAAAGAGAGACGGTAAGTGTTTGGGCACCCAAATTTCATGAAATTAAATATTAGCAAAAAATGCATCTCGTTACACCATCTTTGTTTTAGACGACTAGGTGAGCTATGGTTAGGAATGAAATATGGTATGTGGGAGCTAATAAACACTTATTTCGGAAACAGCGCGTTTGTGACTTAATGAAATACAAAAAAATACTGAAAAATCTAGCATTTTATTGTTTCGGCTCACTCAGACCATCATGTGTGGTGCCGTTATTCAGTGTATACCAAGGCTGGCGATGGGTGGAAAGTGAACAATCTGCAATACATAGAACTGGCGTTATGATTTACAGAGATAACTCCAAAGATCGACTTCATTTCAATGAGTTTCCTTTAAATAACGTTATATATATATATATATATATGCGAGGCTATCTCTTCTCTCATATTCGCTCAGTCGAAGTCAAACAGTTCGAGATCCGATTCTCAATCACCCTGTGAGGAAGAAAATTTTCAAGGCGGTTATTAGGTCCGACGATTTGTCTTTATGATTTTTCCGTCGGAAGCTTCACCGTCAACAACTCTGCTTTATATATTCTAGAGGAAAGGTAGTTTAAAAGCTCACGTTCTTCACTAGTAAATTATGTTTCGACGGTATTGAAGTAGAGCTAGTTATTATTGGGAAACTGTGTCTGACATAATGTCCCAAATTATTTTTCATAAGTTCCACATGTTTTAAACATACGCATACGAATACTCAAATGTATATGCATTTCAAATGCGCATCTGGCTTATGACGGAAATGTTTAGTCTAATGAAACCTGTTTTTTTCAAGGCAATTTATTTAAAAAAATCATCCGCAACTAGTTGTTTAAAAATATAATAAATTAACACCATCTCTCGGGTGAACATAACGAAGCAAGTAATAATGTAATAATTTCGAAGATGATTTTTTGAGCATTAACATATTTTATTACCTTTTTCCGATCGTGCCTCTTTTCCTGTTAACCGTGCCTGTTATCTTTGAAAAATACTTTAATTTTTCGGTAAGCTTCTCTTCCATTTGTACAGCATAGAAGGCCACGTTGTCGAGTAAAACTTACTAAGGACAAAATCATCGAAAGGCCAAAAAACTTAATGGAAGTTAGTTTTATAGGCAAATGCAATTTAGCGGAAATACAGCGAGTGTCGACTGTATGCACTACTCATTTTTCTAGAAATGTTTGGCCGTGGAAGCTCGAAAGTATCTAGAAAACGGCTTAATCTTGAAGTAGCTATCCTCCTGCCGATAGGATGCGGCAAAAGGACCTACACCGTTCGTGATAACCGTTAGTGCGATGGTGTATAATGATAAAGTACCTGCCGCCTGCTTTCCTAGTACTTCCTTTAGGATTGTTATACACGTGACGCTGCCCTGTCACCGTTGGCAGATTTTCATTGGACACCATCATGACCAGTGAACCAGACTTATTACAACTTACATACCCCTTCCTTTGCAATGATTCATGTGAAAATGAATCTCTACAAAGCTGTGATCGCCGTTTAAAAGAAAGGGCATACTCGGTGACCAAGGTATTTATCTATGTTATAATTGATCGGACATCACTTTATCACTCTAAGTTTACATTTCCGAAGAGCGATACTTGCTTTGCTTTGCAAGGCGGCATGTGATTGCAATCATAGAAACTCCCTGTTGTAAGTGTATTGTTGTACTCCGCCGACTTAAAAAGTCGATACCATGCCAACTGTGTTTGGCACGATTTCTACGTGCAGTGCGGTTCTAAAACAGTGCAGATATGAAATCATTTTTATTTGATAGGAGAGGTAAATGCAAACTACTAGGGGCCAATTTTAGATTTGTCTTGTTAAGGATATATTGAATTTAATGTACTTGTACACCATAGTTATTAGGTTTTTTCAGGTCTGACTGATTGCCATCAATCAAGGCAAAAACCTCGGCCGACGGCACTTTATGAGACTGTCTGTACGTTGATACAGTGTAAAGTCAACTTGTGAAAAAAAAAAATGAAAAATGACCGCCAGAGCGTCACCAAAACCTTAACGTTTCAAAAATAACATGTGTCAATAAATGCTAATATATGTTATGTATAGAAATATTACAGATATTTGATATATTTTGATTGGCATATACATTCTGTTCCTAAACAAAGCTTAATAACCTCTTGAGTTTTTGTTGAATTTTTTGTTCTTTCATACTGCCATATAATATATTGATTATTTCCGGGATATCATAAAAGCTTAAAGATACAATTCTTTCCTTTTGATAATAACCAAATGCACATGTTACACTAATTGAAGATATGCAAGTATGTTTATTAGAAGTTCGCTTAACAATGGTTTAAAACTCTCTAGAAATGCGTTTTCGCTATTTTGTTGTATAGGCGAAACGGATATCACTATGGGTGTTTGCCCTTTTTTCTCAAGTTTTTATCCAACTCATCAACATCTACTGCTGAGAAGGCCTCTTTTTACACAGAACACAGTGTTAGCCATATACTTTTCAAATAAAATATAAGACCTTAAAGTTAAATTTACGTATTTCAATTCATCTCATCGGGCGTTATCGATTGATACCAACAACTACCACCACGTAGCCCTTTAGGCAATGAAAAAGTGTCATATTCGTGAAAAATCAATCGTATCTTTAGCGCTTTCCACTAGGAAATATCAATTTTAGCTATAGGAAGATACGTTTCGGTGTCTCTCTTAAGGACCTTTCAACCCGAAGGTTTGCCGTTTAAGCCGCTACAACTTTCCGATTTAGACCTATTCAGAAATCTGCTGGAATAAGCACTCAACAGTAGCTCGAAACGTATATTTACTCCTAATGGCGTACACAAGAAACAAATGCTACATTCGATTTTAGTTCGTTTTACCCTGAAATATTAATTTGGGCTTAAAGTTGTATCTTCAATTTTTAACCAGCATGCAGAGATCTACCAATATCTATTATTTGGTGTCAAGAGATAGGCACTCTACGTATAACAAAAAGTGTATTCTAGCAATGCCTGTGAATTTTGTAATTGCTAGCTCGCATTAATTGAACACAATACCGTTAGTACAAAGTTTACCGATTTGCGGTAGGCAAATGAGGTGGTATTATCCAACCAATTGATGCTGAATTTCATCCTAAGCACACTGCTTATCTGTTAGATGCTTGACGTTGCCCGGAAAATTTGGAAAATTGGCATTTTAGCGAAAAAGTTACTTCGATTATTCTTAATTCACCACTCTTCGCTAGTTAGTACCTTAAAATTACTCGGCAAATCTTCAGGAATATGGTTTACTGAGTTTAATCGTTGTTGTAATAACAGTTTCATAATTCAGTTTAGTAATAGGCAAGCATCTCGAAACGATTTCCTAATTCGTGTTATTGTTAATGCATTCATAAAACATATGTCGCGAAGGATTTTTGCTGCAGATTCAAGTGCGAAATGTCAGTATACCCACTATAAACAATAATAATGGTAATGGCATAGATTTGCCGTTGCCTTTGGGAGATGCGTCTGAAATAGTATGCTAAGTAGTAAATGTAAAATTTTTACCTTAACTTCTGTAGGGATTTCAGATATTTACACTATCTATATAAATATTAGATACTGACTTGTCTGACCGGTTTTTTTTCACACGCCAGGTGGCTTAACTAATTTTATCAAATGATATATTCTGGTTGTACAATTATGATTGTCATTAAGTTGAATGATGTAGGTATACGACGTATTTGATTCCCATACATCAAGCCCGGTCCGAGCAACGCTCGACAAATGTTACTACCGGAAGCTACATAAAAAAAACAGGCAAAGGCAATTATAGACGGCAGACACCAGTGTAATAATGAATCACGTTTGCTAAATATGTTGCACTGCGTATGAAATGAGCAATTGTAATAGTTTTAGCTGAACTACGTAGCAATTACTGCTTTCACATAGCCGTGACTAATATTGAACTTGGGTTCGCAACCGAAAAATGCTGGCCCGAATCAGGAGATACAACCAGTACTTTAATCCAAGTATTAGTACTCAATGAATACGCTGAGTTATAGTCCCGATAAATATGGATAGGGATCATGACTCCCCGCTTGTCACTGTTTTTTTCGTTTGCGAACGTATGAATATTTGGCTGTGTACCTGTTAACTTTGACAGCGCGTTAAGAAGACAAAATATCACAAGAAATATTATATTGCTACTTGATCAATTAGCTCAATTGACTAGGCAGTCACAAAGAGTAGTGAAATAAAAAATCAATGACAAAATACGAATGGAAACTATTTAATAAGTTAGGTTTATTTATAAAGTATCCCCTTGAGCAATATCAATTGATACCCTGTTAATTAAACAACTATGATTGACGTATGCCTTAAGATATCTGTTGCTTGATTCATATTGTCGCACACGACCATTCAGTATTTATATTCAAATATGTTTTTTAGACAGCTGTAAGGTGGCTCGGATCCTGGTCAGGTGTGTGGCCCAGGGCCATGATGCTGCCCAGTTGGTTGAAACCAAATGTGAGCACATTATGGGGTCCTTACGTGCCACATACGTGGACGTACTGGCTCGAGGCCAACTCCATGACCTTCCTCCAGATCTTCCTTGTAGTGGTCGCCCTTGTGCTGATCATCGTGTATCTCCACAACAAATTCGGAGTCAAAGAGCTCAAGGCCGATGTCGAGAAAATAATGGGACTCAACAAAGGGCCGAGATTCAGGTAACAAGCTTGTGTTTATCACATAAGTTCTGCTGATTTTCTTGTTGCTTTGATACCTACGAGCATCCTACCGTATCCGTTTCTAGCTAAACAAGCAAGCAGCTAGCATACAACTAGCAGCTAGGCTCTGCGTACTGTTAGTTGATAGTTTGCTGGAGGAAACATTGACGACGATAACAAGGTACAAAACTTGTGGTGATTAACTTTCTTATACTTTCGCAGAAAACGAGACAAGATGCTGTTTTATACGAAGCGAATGCTGAGACATGTGAATACGCTGGCAGCCCAATCAGTAAATACAACGAGTACTGGAGGCAAGGGACGTGTAAAGAAGCGTCAAATGGTGCTACGTTTAGCCAAGAAGATCATGTTCCCAAGGAGAGATATCCCTCAATTAACTGTTAAAGAGCCTTCGCAGGCATTCTTAGAAGAGGACCTCACAGAGCATCGGGAGGACGGTATGTGAGGAAAAATGTTCTGTTTTTAATTCTGCTATGAGCTTCAAGGAAAATTATATCTAAATTGTTGTCTCAATTTTTTGTTTAATTCTCTTATGACCACCTGATGTAGCCTATGCCCTAGATTATAGTGAATTACAACTCAAAGCTAAATTAGGCCGAACTGGAGTCGATACTACACCCTTCATTTATATACAATTCCGCTGTAGGATCTGTTAGTTAGTAAAGCACACTTCTACTGTAAGACATTTATACGTTGCGGCGTTTGCGTAAGTTTTACTAAGTTGCTTTATGGATAATTTGATATTCACAGCTAAACTGCCACCCGATGTACTATATCTGATCCGATCAATTCGGATTTTCGGTTTCCTCGAAAAACCTCTATTCGTTGACCTATACAAGCACATCGAAAGTTACAACATTATGCAGGGCGAGATGTTATTTGACATCGGCGATTCTGACGACTCGATATATACAGTCTACAGTGGTTGTATTAGCGTCTACATCAAGGTAAGTGTCAGAAAGTTTATAGTCACGTTACGCTAAATTAGTACGTGTTAAAATTGTTCTGAAACGTATTTGTATTACATGGTGGTTCATTTTGCTAGAACAGTAAAACTAAATAGAGTGCAAAGGCACAAATTTAAATTTAAGGTTTCATATATTTGGTATTGAACAGTAAATACGGCTTCTAGGTCAACTGGTGTAAAGGTTCGACAGGTTTTTAAATACCAGGCTGATATACTCGCTAGTGTTTTCGTGCGGAAGACTTTTCTTATTATCACGCAGGCTACAGGCAAGTGATTATACCACTAATTCCTAAATTGTTTTTTATACAAGCCGTCTGAAAATATGTAAGCTTACCTTTTTGTGCCTGGTTGTTTACCCTAAATGTTCTGTTGACTTATTATAGGAGGGCGGTGACGATCTTATGTTCAAGGAAGCACGGGCTGGGGACAGTATTGCCAGTTTTCTGTCCGGTCTCGTTGTGCTAACGAACAAGGAAAGCACATTTAAGTCTGTGGCGGCGCGAGCTACTGAAGACTCAAAAGTTTTACGTCTTAGGTACAAAGAGTTCAGTGATCTCTTGAAAAAGCACCCTGACTCTATGGTTCGCCTCGTTCAGGTCGTGATGATTCGTCTGCAGAGAGTAAACTTTGTCGCTCTTCATGAGTATCTGGGCCTTACCACTCAGATGATGAAAAACAGGCCTGAACGGAGCAAAAGCTTCATTAATCCTGCCAAAAGTAGCCCAGCGAAAGTGAGTTGCCTAAAACGATGAATTGCTAGTTGTAAGAAGTCAGAAATAATTTTGTATTTGATCGATCAGAAAGTGAGTTCACTTTTTTGCCCTAAGTGCTGCTGGCTGTTGACAGAAATATCTCTGCAAAGTTCATTTCTTTGTTTTGTATGGCCTACCTCCGCTTTTATAATGTGTACGTCTGTGTGTGGACAGCAGGGGGTGTATCTTGGCGAACGGAAGAGGCATCCACCGAAGCTAGTTTTTCTTAGATACCCACATTCTTCAGTTGTTTATTTTGCAGCTCGCAATGCATGAATCCGAAAACTTGTGATCTGATAAAACAATTTGTGGGCTATAACTAAAGCACCAAAAATGGTACAAGATTTATCAAGAAGTTTCCGAAATTATTATACATACTGTAATATAACATGATCAGTTATGCAATCCTTCACCTTTCTAAGAATGCGAACCTTTTAACGCAATTTGTCATCAGCATTCCTAAGTTTGCAATGTTTTGAAAATTCTTGATTGAAATTGAATGCACTTTCTAGATCTCCGCAAATCCTCTGATACCTTTCCAGGATTCAAACGTTTTTTGATTGTGTTAAAAGTACATATAGGTGTTCAATATCGATCTTACGCAAAAGTGGTATTTTTTTGACATGTAAAGATTAAGTAAATGCGTTAAAACAACAAACTATGGCACCTTAATCCAGTTCATGTGAAACATACTTTCCTGTCTTTAAGTTTATCTGTAGCGTACGTAAAGGCAATTCACAACAGTGCGGCGCCTGGCTCTTGACTTCGCAGAAAGTTTTTTGCGCGAAGGGGCTAATATTGTGCAGTGGAGTTCGCAGTTTATCGCTATCAGCTTCATAGGGCTATCCAGAGGTGATTTGTGATTTAAATTCAGATTTCTAAAAAGTTCTAAAGTGCTGAATCCAGGTGCTGTAAACGCTGTCAGCTAGTGCTCAATTTCTTCCAACCTCACGCGCCAAACATGTTGTCACACCTGCATTTTATCAGCGGGGCAGCAGCGAATTAGATCGTGTTGACTTTGCAATTTTTGCTGCCCCATTATTTAACCGTAAAGAGAAAGCTATTTACAAAGCCAAAAAAAAATGCACGTTAAGCGGGAAACGGAGTGCTCTACGCTTCAGGGGAAAAGCGTGCAAAGTTTCCAATAGGATGGGTAAACAAAAGTTACCAGAATCATCTTCTGACTAACCAGAAACATGCAGGTCGAATTCATTTCTAATAATTATCGATACGGAAGTAGGCAATATTGACTCTGATAACATATTATCGCGTACTGATAATATACTAAATACCATCTAATGTCTTTGGCCCACATATTCTTAGGCTAGTTACGAAGTTCGTGTAACGGTATTTCAGGTACCAGTTTCACGAAAAACACCAGGTCTTCTCCCGCAGTCATTGCCTCATACTCCGATCCACGGACCTCCACCAGGGTCGTTACCTGCTGCGCCAGCAGTACCAGCAGATGGATGGCCCACAGAGGTACCTGAAGAAAATGTTACGACGCCAGCCCCGCCTACCGTGGAGAGCGAACCCGTCAGCGTTATGCGGAAAACGAGTAATATTGTACATCGGATTGCAACGGGTCAGTGGTTTCACCTATATATTCATCGGACTTTTCCAGTATATCTGTTCTGTTAATAACGATGCATGTTACGGAAAACACAGTGATAGCTGAGTATAATCAACTTCAGTGCTTACAGCTAGTGTTCAAGCTTGTCTTTGATTGCAATGATGAACCAGACATTGGTAATCAAAACAGCTCACCTAACCGAGACCTTGCTTTATGGCGAATGTCTGCTCGTTAATTGCACGTTTGGCACCATTATCCGCTTTGGGCTTCTTGATTTTATTTTGAGTAGCCTATCGAATAGTTACTATAGCAGAGTAGATGTCTTTGACTCAACGACTATTCAACCGAACAATTACATATAAGTGTACTTATTGTTCTGTAGGGTGATTTCAAATCGTTTGATAACTAATAAGTTGTAAAGGTACGAGTAAGCCTCCAAATTCGAAGAATTGTATATGTAGGTTTGGGGAAATATTTTTTGCACCTATGTTAGAATCTTTAAGTTACCCTATATTTGTTTCCTAGTTTCAGATGAATGGTTTTGGTGAAGTCTTGATACTTCTCAGCCGATTCAACTGTAACTAGAACCACTTTCGAATGTTGTCTGGTATTTTCGAAGATTTCCAATAAACGTGTTTTATGTAGATTTTTGGTTGCTTCGTCCTTGGTAATGTTTACGCATAACTCACAATTTGTTAGTGGTTAGACGCTAACCCGTATTACGGATCTGCTTTGGACTTTTCTATCCGTGTAATATTTGTCCACATGGACAACTTCCTCTTCCTTTTCTTCTACCTTGCTTTGAGCAATCTTGCGGGTCTGTGATGGTTGACTACCATCCGCCGTATAGGTTCTGCGGCACTTCTCATTGATGTTTCATCTGTCGGACAATCACCACAACCGGTTAGTCAGAGTCTCCCTAACCAAGCTAAATCAAGCAGTATGACCGCTATTACTTCCAAAGGGCGGCGCGCTTCCGTTGTCGGTAACGTGAACGAGAACACAATGCGCGCTCCGGAACCCAGCGAAGAAGAGTGTCTGGCCCAAGCAACCCGCGCTTTCGCTCGCATTCTTAACTTGTCCACCGAAGACCAACTTAAAGACAAACTAACGATTCGCGACTACAAACCCGGCGAGAATATCACAAAACAGAACGATCTCGAACATATCAACCATCTTTACTACATTATTTGGGGTAAGTTTCCAAAAAAGCCATTTGTTGAGAACACAGAAATGCACATTGGTACTGCTTAGTCTTTAAATATCGCCTGAAAAACTGCTCCCAAAGAGAAGCTTTAGAAGCGTCCCGATGAGCGCTTGAAACTGACTGTTATAATGGACACAAACAAATTGCATGGCTAATGGAAAAAATAGAATAACAGATGGAAATTCAATGACTTGGGGGTAAGCCCCATCATTATTTTGAACACTTATTTTTTATGCAAAGAGAATATTACCGGTTTATGTAATTTAATAGAACAGCCAATATTGTAACAAAATCATCGAACTGTTTGAATTAACGGCGGTGGCAATCGGCCGCTATAGTGGAGCTAGTGGTGCGAAGGGTTTTCAGCTCATTTTGATTTTTTGTGTGTATTCTTAATTGAAATAAGACGAGTTTGTGTGACGTGTGGGCATTATCTTCTAGGAACGGTTGAGGTTCGCCAAAAGGCGTCGCATAAAAGCAGCGATCCTGATGAGATGTATTTTGCTCACGCTGGTGATACTGTGGGCATTTTCGAGACGCTCACATCAGAAATCCCATTTGTAACCCGTGTAGCACGCACCCGTGTTCGTGTAGCAAGCGCTCCATCATCAACCATCTATTCTTTACTAGTGAACAACCCAGACGCAGTCCTTCACCTTGCAGCAAATCTCATAGAGAAACTTTCATCGTTTGTCAGGCAGATTGACTTTGCCATGGATTGGATTCAGGTGCGATGTGGCGAATCCTTAATCTAAAGATTAATGAGATTGTATATATCGAATGTTAGGCTACCTGTTAATAAATTCTAGAGTAGGATCCGCTGATTTTTAAATGATATGAACGTGCATGCACGCGTCTAGAAGATTGGTTCATGTACATGCATGTCATCTGAAACTCAGTGGATTCTACTCACTCCAGATCTTCTTTTGCTATTCAACACTACAAGTAAACTAGTTTAACAACTGGCTCCATGTCAACCGTGGACGAATTATTTTAGGTTGATAGCGGACGAACGGTGTATCGGCAAAACGACACGTCAGATGCTATGTACATAGTTCTGAGCGGACGTCTTCGATCAGTAACGACTGCGGCCGACGGCAAGCGACATCTCGTGGGCGAGTACGGTCGTGGAGATCTGGTCGGTCTCGTTGAGGTTCTTACAGAAGCTCCTCGCACCTCCACTATGATGGCTGTCCGCGACAGTGAGCTGGCTAAACTGCCCGTTGGGTTGCTCAACGTCATTAAGATAAAGCATCCCGTGGTGGTGACTCGTCTCATTCAGCTGCTGGGCCAACGGATACTCGGCAGTATGCGTCGTGAGTCGGTGTCGCCTACACAGGATGTAGTACCTATTCGCAAGTCGCAATCAAACTTCTCAACTATCGCATTGCTGCCAGTCACCGACGACGTACCTCTGCATGCGTTTGCCATGGAGCTTAACTATTCAATTCAAGGTCTCTCGTTACGTTTGACATCAGACTATGTGAAGAAGGAGCTTGGTCCAAACGCACTTGACAAAAGCAACGAGTACAGGTTGTGCTCGTGGCTGGGACAACTTGAGGATAGACACAAAGTTCTGCTTTATCAGTGCGATAGAGATTTCACTTCTTGGACTCAACGGTGTATTCGACAGGCCGATTGCATTCTGATCGTCGCGCTAGCAGAGAGTGGTCCACAGGTAGGACAACTTGAACAGCAGGCCGAAACTATTGCGAAACGTACCCAAAAGGAACTTGTACTTTTGCATCGAGAGGGTGGACCGAGTCCCTCGAATACAGTTGAGTGGCTCAATATTCGATCATGGTGTTCATCGCATCATCATCTGCGGTGCCCTAAGCGCATATTTAGCAAACGCAGTAAACTACTAGATGTCTACCGAAAATTGGAAGGGGTGCCATGTAACACGCATTCGGACTTCGCCAGACTAGCCAGGTTTCTGACAGGAACCTCCATCGGACTGGTTCTGGGCGGTGGTGGCGCAAGAGGCTGTTCCCACGTAGGGATGATTAAGGCCATAACGGAGGCAGGCATTCCAATCGATATGGTAGGTGGAGTGTCTATCGGAGCCTTCATGGGTGCGCTATGGGCTCAAGAGATGGATATGACGCCCTTCACGCAAAAAGCCCGTGACTGGGCATACCGCACGGTCTCGCCTTGGCAGCAGATATTCGACATTACGTATCCGATAACGGCATGGTTCACGGGCTACGCATTCAACAGCGGTATTCACGCGACTTTCGGCGACAAACAGATCGAGGATCTTTGGCTACCGTACTTCACCGTAACGACTGATATCACGAGCAGCTACCCTCGGGTACATAAGCATGGTTCGCTGTGGAGATACGTTCGAGCCTCAATGTCCCTTGCTGGAATTTTGCCTCCGTTGTGTGACCCGATTGATGGGCATCTGTTGTTAGACGGCGGTTATGTGAACAATCTGCCTGCGGACGAAATGTACCGACAGATGGGCGCCGAAACAATCATTGCCGTCGACGTGGGAAGCCAGGACGAGACAGACCTCACTAATTACGGCGATACCCTAAGTGGCTGGTGGCTCCTATGGAAGAGGTTAGTAAACATGGTTCTTACTTATGGCTAATTTGAGGTAGAATTATTTCTTTACACTTACGGTGAGTGCTTATACGTTGGAAACTTTGTTTTGATAAAAACGTCTATCATTAAAGCACAATATTAAATAGATTAGCCTTCAAAAAGACTATACTTGCGTAATGTATAAGTTAGGTTAACACAATGAATAGACCTGAATTTAAAAGTGTTTTTGTCTGTGTGCAGGACTGTGCCGAACTTTGGAGAGCCTGTAAAGATTCCGAATTCAGCTGAAATTCAATCGCGACTTGCGTACGTGTCATGCGTGCGCCAGCTCGAGGAAGTTAAGACAAGTGACTACTGTATGTATGTCCGGCCACCGATCGATAAGTACAAAACTCTGCAATTCGGTCTGTTCAATGAAATCATGGAAGTCGGTTATCAGCATGGCCGTACGCTGTTCGCCGGCATGAAAGCTGTCCAGCATGATCGCAAAATGAAATTTTTCGTGACAGGCGGCGTATCTAGTGAAGATATCCCGAAACAAGCTCCACTAAAGCCGACGACGTTTACCGATCTTGCATCGATCGTTTGCAGGGTAAAGAAACCTGTTAAAGAAACCTTTGAGGAAGATGATTTACATTCAGATAACTTCGTTGACGATACCGACTTTAGCCAGGAGGAGATCTGATAGTAAGATCATAAGCGAATAAACGCCGTAACACAAGGGTGCCTAGCTAGAAAAAGCACTTGTCTGTCTGGTCTTTCACTGAAGAGGACAAGAGGAGAAATCAAAGGGTTCACGACTCCTGAAGTGAATATGCTGGGCAAACAGCATCAGATATTCTACAGATGAATATTATTTAAGTTGCGGACAAGCGTGGCGTCTCGTATACTATGGCGTAAAAATCGAGAAAAAAAAAACCTGCCTGCGTGTGGAACCCTTAAGATGTAAGTTGTAGTAGCTGAACAAAAGGCAGATTTACCTAGGAGGGGAAACAACGCTCATTTCTATATCCTTTGATTTGGAGTAACAGCTTTAGACCGTCAGACTGCATATGTAAATGACGCATTGGTAAACAGCGAATCGCGAGGCACCGAAGGCGACACCTAAAAAGAAAAGTAGACAGTAGCAACGGCAAAAATAAGCGTATTCGTAGTACACCGCGCTATACTTGCGATAACTAGTGGCTAACGGTTGAAATGTGTTATCTCATCAAGTCTCGCCCAATCATGCCTACACCAAAGCTGAGCGTATATAGAATCCGAACGGACTTCATATAATCATGGTTGATTAATTACATTTATGTATAATTTAATGGTTTTACAATTAATGCTGTTATTTTTATTAAGTGATGTATAGAAAATGACGATTGCGACCTGTAACGAGGTAAATAAAGACGCACGAAAAGCATAAAAGTGTAAAGCTCACAAACATATATACATATATAAGAAAAATAGCAAAAAAAAAAAAAGAAGAAGAAAGTGGTGAATTTAATCAATAATGTAAGTAAACGAATAATCGTACATGCTTGTGTGTATGATGTTATATGTATATGAGATAAGATGATTAAACGAGTTGTTTAAAACAACTCGGGTGTAATTTATGCGGTATTGAAGGTATTGAGCGATTTACAGCGCATATAGGAATACTTGAAGTGTGTCATTTTTCGAGTGAGCTAAGACGAGAAGTAATGCTATTTTAAAAAAATAAATAAAGTCAGTAGAATAGGTTGTCTTTAAGGGACGCATGTTTTATTGCTAAGCTCACAATATCACTGCGCATATGGAAAGTATATATGCCCCAATTTCAATGCTAGAATAACAATGAGCCTTTCCTATATATTTTCAAACTCAATATCAACTGATGCCTTTTGTAAAGTGAAAAAAAATTATTTTTGAGATAGGAACGGGAGCATCCCTGTGAAAGTTAACTTGTCGAAGCTGAATGTTGTTTGTTTGCTTATAGGAATAATTTCAGTTCTGAAGTTAAATTTATGACGAAATATGTTTGTATATAAGGGTATGATGAAAGTGATGTTTAGTTAACATGATGTGTAAGAACGATAAAGTACTAAAGAACATGGGTCCATTTTCAAATAATTGACATGCCCATGCAGGCAGTAGCATTTAACATTCGTTTACAACAACGACAACAACAAGGCACCTACTGCTAAACTCGATAATGACTGGCTGACGTTTGTTGATGGACAATCAACGACAAGTTAACTATACAGCATAGAAAAATATTATATATTATTAAATATATGTAATTCATGCACTTATTGAGCATACATTCTACAAAATATAATCGGCGATTGTTCATTTTCAATTTTTTTTTAAATTTAGACATTTACATATTTGTAGTCGACTGGTATATAGGCTACGGCAAACTTCAGGTCGGTGCACTATATTGTGTTATTAATCATAGTAGTTTTTACAGACACATCGTCACTTGGCCCCTAGAAACCTGCGACTACGTATCATTTACGATGGCTTTGCAAAGCAGTGTATATACCGAAATAATTAGCGATATAATGCTTAGTTTTTTTTCAGTTCATTGCATACGTTAGCTCTAATCGCTCCAGCGTTGAAAAGCTCTACACGAATGTCGGCGGCGTTTCGCAGCGTTTGAGGAAGGTTTAAATGGCTGAGAATTCGGAACGTAATCTCAGAGCTCCACAACAGGCACCAGCCAATAGGTAAGCGAGTCGATACTTTGCTTTATGATTTATCGACCTAGTATGCAAAAAAATCTTCATCCGAATCAGCAGGTCCAAATAAGGCGCTGGGCAAATAGGGCTAGATCCGTCAGCGATTTTCAGCTGCTCCTTCTATTTTACTCCTACTAATTAATTGAGCACTTTCGTGAGGACGTTAACATACGTCGAAGTATTCAGAACCTAGCCAGCCCCTGGCATCTGGTCAAATATAACATGGAAATGAACCAACGTCATACACGGAAATTTTGTAACTTACCGAAATTGCTTTCCCAATGTAGGCTATGGGAGTCCTGCATGTTGTTTCAATCGAATGCCTTCTCAACGCAACCTGTGTGTGTTTTGTGATAGTTTGCACACTCTCCAGATAGAAAGAAGATCCCTTGCTCGACAACCGGGTAAGAATATTATAGTAAACGCTCTTCTTAGCAATTCTGCTCCGCCGCGACAGAGGTGTTCCTTAATCATTTTTCTTCGGAACTGTCGGAAGAGTCGCATCTCTGCCCAGGGAGAGGATCCGTACTTAGACACGCACGTGAGAACATTCGCTGTGCGACAAGGGGCTATTTTGAGGTTGTCTTGAAATTCTTATTGCGAGCCCTGTGTAACTGACATTGTTGGCTCTCCAAGGTCTGTAGAAGCTCTTGCAGGACGAACTTCCGTCCAAGTAGGTGGCGCTTTGGCGGCCTTCTTACATTGCTCATTATTTCACCTGGTTGCAGCATCTCCATAAGTACCGTATGGCCGTCGCGAATATTTTAGCAAAGTTTTTGTTCAAAAAGCAAGTAATTCAATCAAGAAGATCGAGTTAGCTATTCGTGAAGCTGTCTTCGGCTCGACTTCGATAACTTAATCATTTCCAGATAATTGTGCCGCTTTATAGCGTATTTAGCTGGACAGCTGATAAAAATGTGCCCTAACAACATAATTGTCAGCATCCTAAGGCAGGCTCTTAGCTTTTCTTATCTATGGGTGTACATTAGACCCTGTTAGAGAAGCATTAAAAGATTTAGATATCAATCAAGGGCGTAACCGGCGTTGTTTATCGACTCACATTACTACCTACTCAAACTAGTGCAAAAGTAAAGTGCTCAAATAGACGTAATCCGCATGACTGGGTTACTTTTCAGCGCTTCCTTGGTGTTGAGCTGTGATTATATAGCGCGAATGAGAAAAGAATATAGATACATTTGTTAGACTATCGCGTGTATAGAGTAAACATTTACATATACAAGTTAACGTTAATGTTACTATTACAAGTATACAACAAACTAGTTTTTTTTAGCTATTGATTACCATTATCACAAATCTGACCGCTTTAAAGCGCCTGTTGTTTCCCTCGGTCTTCAAACGTTTACGCCAAGCAAGCCTTGAAGGGCAGACGCGCTGGCAGGTGACATTATCACTATGCCTATCACTTGGTGAGAAACAATGTCGCTTTGAAATAAAATAAGTAACACTTCCGAGAAACGCGGAGCTTGTAGCGCTGAGCGGTAAGGTTGCAAGCCATTCGGCAAATGTTCGTCCTTGTCAATTCAATAAGCTTATACGGTGCTGAATGAATGCATAAAATAGAGTCTAGTTGATCTCCTTTTCTTTGGTGTCCTCCGTCTTCGATTTCAGAAACAAAGGAATAAAAACTACGCAAGCATATGTATACATTGAGTACCGGCGTCCCTTACCGATCTTAAGCAATCACACAGGAGTCACCGAACGCATTTCAGCATAGCCCCATCAAAGGGCACACTCACATACATATGCCCCATGCCATTCCTGTTTCCCGCTATTCTTGTCTTTTGGCAAGAATTGTTGCTCGTTGAAGGATTGCAGTGTCTAGGTTTTGTCTCCGATTTACTACTGCCAAGACGCACTGACCCTTCATCCGGCTTGTCTTGGACTGCCCAACGGCTTTTTCCAGCTTCCTAGCGCCAGGCGCTATCGCGGAGTGTAGGAGCTGCTTTACCCAGAGAGGCAAAAAGGGAAACAGAAAGAACTTGCGTTAGGAAAGAATACTGGGGAGTGATGTATTGTATGAATAATGTGCCCCAGTCTCCTTTTTCTGTGGATTTTGGCATAGCACTGGTAGCACCTGACATCTGATATCATTGTGCGATCGAAACGTTGACTACACTAGTTTCAACCGGGCTAGGGAAGATCAAACGCCGCCTTTGGCAGTGAACGTCGTCCGCCTCCTATTTGCTAACGCTACGCTTTTTCGTCGTATCAATAGGAAAGAAGGTTCTTTTCTTACTTTGCCTGTTCCGGTAGCCCGGTCGTTGAAAAATGAACATCTAACGAAGCATCTATGAGATGTGAGATTCATTGTCTCGTTAGGCTAGTGCTAAATTGATGAACGTCTTTGCCATGCGCTATGTGTTTACATCTGCACAATTCGCCGAACATTTGTATATTTAACTATATGTTATTAGATTATTGCTCGTTTTGCTTGAATTTGTCATGGTCTTATTTTTTGTCTCACGCTTTCTGTTCCGCCTGCGAGCCAGGCTACATAAACACAATGTTTTTGTTTCCTATTTGTTGGCTCCTTACTGTAAATCAATAGTCTCCTTGTATTCGTATGTCCATAATTTCGTGCGGTGCAAGCATTCCTAAATTGCTGAGATTTTTGGCACCAAATACTGTTATTTTGTTTTATTTTTAAATCTTGCTTCAGGATCACAGATTTACTATTGCATTCGATTTCGTTTGCTGCTTGTGCTCATTTATAAAATGGCTTCCAGCTGTATCGAGGTTAATCTTTTATAATATTGTTCATATGGTCCATGATAGTTTCGGTAAATGCGTGTAGTCAAGCGATCTGTTTCATGGTCGTCTCGGTACTGTCGGTTTCTAAAAATATCCTAACTCCGATAAATCGGTCGACAGCCCTTTTGGCGCTTGTCTTTACTACCAGGCTCGCGTAGTTTGACTGACCCCCCACTTGCCCTACGTAAGACCGCTTCGATGAAAAGAAATCTTTGCGGTACGTTCTTTTTTCTCTACTGTATGTTTTGATCTACCCCACGAGCCCGAGCAGATAAGAAATCACCTGAAAAGAACAGGACACGGCGAGTGGTTTTCTGTAACACCTTATTGGGCGGTCCTAAAGTGTACCTAGGGAGTTCTTTTCGAAGCGAGGTTTTCTTCGAGGTCATCTTCGAGCTTGCCGCAGGATCAGGAAGACGCGTGGTGAATGTTGCCTGCCGTTCGACCACTCCGCAAAACTATGGCCTGTTTCGTACAGGTAACCTGGTTTATTAAATTAACAAAAAGGTTGTTCCTCAAAACGAAGCAGTTCTGACCCACTTCGCGAATGCGTTCAGACCCCTTAATTAACACTTTATCCAATATACTGCCTTTGCTTTTCATACGAGCCTGCGTCTACGCAGATAGTGCTGCAAGAGTACCCGACTCAGTATCCTGATCGACCCATTAAATTACAGCTACCGACACGCGCCATACTGAATATATGATAATGACACTGTTTAAATCGAACGGGAGGTTAAAATAATTTTTTTTCAACGTTGTAGGATTGTTTTATCACAATGTGTTGAGTATAGTTTTACTATAGGTTGGCCACGTCGATATCTAGAATATCAGTCAACACGAAAAATATCTATACTATAGCATAAGTGTGTCTAACATCACATTCTCATTATTGTTATCGGATTGCATTGGAATTCTTCGGCCTTGTAGATGTAGGGCCGGTCATCGTTCTGAAGTTTTACGGTATGTCAATCATACAATGACAACATCGTATCAGACCGAATTGGAATAACATCTCTATTCGCAGGTACTGCCCCGCGTGTGTTTTGTTATTAAGCACATTTTGCCTTACCCGTGAGATTAAAATTTAGTTATATTCACGTCGAAATAACACCGAGTAACAATCCCTAACAGCTATAGCTTTTTCCAGAATATAGTTTAACCACAGTCTGCTGTTGACGTAATAAAATTCCTACATTTATGTTACATAGGCACGAATGATGCTGGTGGCCGGCCATAGATGCAAACGACGGAGCT